AAGCTCCATATCCAGCTGCTGGCTTTAGACCAAAAATAGCATTTAATTTGCCAACAGAAAACCAAGTGAAAGAATCTGAAGAACCAGCAGTTGTGCCCACGGCTATGCCGGAAGAAGAAGGAGAAACGTATGTAAAGGCTCCCTATCCTCCAAGTGGCTATAGGCCTTCAAAAGCTTTTCTGTTGCCCAATGAACAATTAAAAGAAGAGGAAGAAGAAATGGAAGAGACTAATGACAAAGAAGAAAAGGCAGAAGAGGAAATCACACCAAAGGAAGACAACAGTAAACATCCTGTTTGTGGTTCAAGCACAAATCCTTTGGCCCCCAAACCGGCTGATGGTTCTCAGAAAGATCCCGATTCTGAAACAATATTTATAAACCCTCAAACTGTGGTCGTGCCGGTACGTCTAGCCGCCCAGCCTCTTATCATAACAAGGCCTTTTGTTTATACCGCCCACGTTCAAACCTGGTAGTGAGAACCTGAAACTTCCTCAGTAGATATTTAAGTTATTGTGCAAAATTGTATTTGTTCGGAAATTTGTTGTCGCCGTATTCCTACTCGTATTGTTATAATGTTTTGTTAAGTTTGATTTCATGTTTTTGTATTTGGCTTTTGCTTAATATTTTATCGAAGAGAAAAATGAATGAAACTACAGAAATGCATAAAAATTCAAAACTATGTTTGAATAAATTTTTTCTAGAATATTTTTCGAGGTTATTGTGTTTTTTTTTGTAGTTTTGGCTTAAAAAAATTACCATATTTGTCGTTGTAATTTTTGCTGTTTGTGTTACTACTTTCTAGGTCACTGTAACACTAACACCAACACAAACAATTCTATTTCATTTCACATTCATGTCGAGAACATCACAAACAAAAGCAACAAAAAACGAATAAGAAAACGATTCCCTCTACTCCCTCTCGTTCATAGGTCTGGTAAACGTTCGTAGACAAAGACGAAACCTATTGAGATCCACCATTAGAACGGAAGTAGGAAGTCATTTGTATTCGAAAATATTGTCCATAAAAAAACACACAGCAGCATAACGTGTTGCATACCAATGTGGTCCAAGCTGTGGTGGTCTTGGCTCAAAGGCATACACCGACCAACACCAGCGAATTCATGCCAAGCTACTAGACACAATCATATACCAATCAAATTTACTGTGTATGTTGTCGTTGTTGTTTTCTTTGCTGTTTTTGTGATTCAGTTTCAGTTTCGTTCGTTTCGTTTTCAATTTTGGTTTTTTACTACAATCCATGTTTGTTTCTTCGTTTGTTGTTGTTGTATTGTACTATTTCATTTTGGTATTATTTTCTCAAAACAATATAATTCGATAATAAAAACCAGTAAAAATAAAAGTAACCATCATTGTAAATATCTTTGTTTTCTTTTTCATTTCATTTTACTTCATTTTCATTTTTTGAAAAGACCAACAGTCCGATTTTGGCAGGCATAGGCGAAACTTCAAAAAAAAAAAAAGAAAAAGAAAATTGATATAGGCCCATAATTGTTGCGAGCACAATGGAAGAGGAATAAAAACCAACAAATGTACCGACTCGTAAAGGAAAACAAAGACCCTGGAGTCCTAGAACTTTTGGGGATACAGTGTATGGTGGGAGAATTATTTCAACGTTAGCAATCGATGAAGATTTTCTGAAGAAATTTTCCATAAAATGTTGAAATTGTTTTTATCCTTTGGTTATAACGACGGTATCCAATTGTTACGCAAAAAGTTCTGTCGTTTGAAACGATACAGGTCCCTTGACCGCCGTTATAAGCGATACAAACAATTTACGATTAAATTGTTAATTTTTGAAAAGAACTTTTATATGGCCTTGAATTCAGTACGATTTATAAAGAAAACGTAATGAAAATGTTTTGGGCAACACTACAAGGAATTTAAGGATTAATCAATATTCCGTAACATTTTTAACTATCATTGTAGTTTTCCTCATTGAATTTTGTTATAGCCTAGACAGACGACATCCTTAATTTGCATTAACAGCCTTAATTCAAATTAACTTGTACATTATCCTCATTTTTATGTGTTGTTAATGCACAAAATCAAAAAATACTGAATTAAGCAAAGTATGGCAATAGGGTTCTATCACAAAATGGAATAGTGAGGTTTCGCATTTGATCTAGTCTCATGAGGTAGCTTCCATTGAGATTTGTTTTCATTAACCGTAGGGGCATGTATTCTCCATATTAATCAATTTTTTTTTCTATTTTATTTAAATATTTTTTAATAAGAATACAATACCTTATATTTGAATCAATATAAACAGATGTGTATATCCGTTTTCTAAATTTGTTTTGAAAACAAAATTTTATGAATACACCGACTTATTAAAAATTCCACAACGTTTCATTGTGGTTTTTGTGTTGCTTATACGCCCCAAGGGGCTCTGCAAATTTTTCTCAAATGAACTTTTGCTGTTGGTGGATGACGGAGGCTGGCTTCTTCTTCTTCTTCTTCTTGCCTTGTTCGGGTGGACATATGCATTCGCCCAAACGTTAAATTCATCACTTCAAAAATAAAAATTAAAAATAATGTTTACATATTAGCATAAATGAATTGCGTATTATATTTTTGTCACACGGCGAAACAATTCATTATTTTTATGTGTCTCTTTTTTTTTGATTTTTGAAAGCAAAATTTGAATTCTGAATTGGAATATAATTCAATGCGAGGCAAAAATACTGCTCTTTACCACTCTAATTTTAATCGTGAATTCGTTCACCCAAATGTTGTTGTTGTTGGTGGTTTTTTGCAACAATTCTATCGAATATTTCATTTGCCGTTTGGGTTTTGTGAAATATGTTCACGAATGATAAATGATTTGTTGCGCTACCAAAACATAAATGCAAAAATAATGATAAATATTTTCAAAGCAACAAAATAAATAAAATCGAGACGTTAACTTGTGTACAAAATATTCAGTTCGGCTACTGTAAGTGACAATTGTGGGGATATTGAACACACCAAAAACAAAAAAAAAATGAAAACAACAAAAATTGAAATACGAAATAACAAAAATCGAAGACATATTTTGTACGTGTGTGAGCTAAAAACGACCATCAGATCACAGTCAAGCCGGCTAGCAGTACGTGTCAAACATACAGAATATTTTTCTGTTTTCTAAATGAGAAATACATATACATACATATATTCACACTACATACATACATGCACATTATATATGTATATCGTTGCTTAGGTTTTTTTCATACAAAAAAGGATAGCACCCTACATTAACTGGCTTGGTTTTTTGTCACTCGGACAATTGGTCCATATCCTTATTGTTCACTTGTTTGGACTTTATGGCAAAGCGAATAATGGCATATATAAAATATTGTTCTCATTTCTTATTGGGGGAGTTTTCAGGAAAATGTTTATTCTTGACTGGCTAATCATTATGAAGTGCAGTGTATGTAGCTCTCAGTTGTAAACTTCTTGTGCTCTTCTAAAAATCTAGGATATATAATTCGGTCTCACTAAAGAAATTCTGGCTGCTGAAATATGTCGATTTCAAATTTCGACATAAAGAAAAGTCATTATATAAGCCGGAAGACGTGATTTCTCTCACGGGGATATTCGAAACAAACATTTTAGATTGGTAAGTACATAGCAGATATATTATATATCTGCTATGTCGTATTGTAGGGAAACATTCTGTCGCTTCAACTTTCTATAATTTTTGTCCATGTTACCTGTCTTGTAGACCCAACAAATATTCATTGTTTTTTGTCCATGTTCATTCAGAGCCGTCTGTCAGGCAGCCAGTAAGTTAACCAACATTTTACACGAACATTGAACTGTTACTTCCTTCTCTTCCCCTCCCTTGCAATACCAATACAGCACCGGTCTTATCTTGACTCATTGCATAGCGCAGACGGACGGACTGCAATACACGTGCTGCTGTTGTTGTTGGATTCATTTTTAGTATTGTTGCCAAACACAAGTCACAGGCCTTTGAGTCTCTTTCTCTTTTGGAACAGTTACAGATATTGCTGTTCTATAAATCCATGTTGAACTTAAATAGTTTGGAATTAACTTCGGTTCCAATTCAGGAGTGTGTGGTGTAACCTCGCCGAACACAAATACATTGATGAATGGTCCATGTGTAAGTATAGCCAAGTAAAATGTGTTCACCTGTTGCTAAAATATCCTGTTGGATTAAGGCAAAAGGATACACGCTTTGCTCATATTGTCGAACTTTGTGACCACGTTCACGTATTCTGTTGTTACTCCCCCAACAACTACAGAACTGTCGATGTAAATAGTAGTAGTTGAATGTGAATGAGTATGTGAATGTATGTGTGTGTGTGCGTTAGTTCACATTGGAATACTCTAACTGTCATTGGAGACTTATTTATTTCAATTTAATTTTACATTTCTATTTCGTCTTGTTTAAATATTGGTTGATTAAGTATTTGTGGCAGGATATTTGTCCTTTGTGTAAATAATGTTACATTATTTAATGAGATTGTTGCAACGACAAAGGTAGGAAATATAGGTAGCATTGCAGAGATTTGATATATGTATCACAGGGCAATGGTGGATAGAGTGAAGTATTTTATGGTAGTTTATTTATTTTTTTTGGAAAGGAGATTTCCCCACAATAATTCCGAATTATTACACATTTAAAGCATTTAAATTTGTTTGTATCAAAAATTTTTGTGATGCAAAAACTTAATTGAAATTTTGTAAAATAGTACAGTAGTATATATCTATACTAGATTTTTTCTGTAAACGATCATCTAAATCAACGTAACTTTAATTTTTATTTGACCACTCAGAATATTACCCAAAATCTCATTTTTAAATGAGTATTTAAATAAATAAAAGAATATATGTGTTATTTTTTCGTTATTTATTATTGATAATTGTAATACCTTATTTCCCTAAAAATGTTCAACATGACTAAATTTGGTTTCTAATAACATTTATGAAAACAATAAAAATTGAATGCAATCAATACATGACAGTGAGAATTATTTTCCCAATATCAACTACATCGGGCTGCTTATTGGGTAATGTAGTAGAAGATGGGTTGTGGAACGAATTGACGCTGGAGTTGGAGACGGGCTGGGGCAGCTTTACGCAATTTGGCGGGGCGAGCGGCACTTTTGCGAGCACCAGCACGACGGGCGGTGAGACGAGCGGATTCAACAGCTTCTTCCTCTTCAACGGCAGCTTCTTCGGCAGCGGCTTCTTCAGCGGCAGCTTCTTCAGCAGCAACAGCTTCTTCCTCTTCGGCTACAGCAACGGCTTCTTCATCTTCAGTGGGGACAACATCATCGGTTTCGACGGGTACATCTTGTTCTGGTGGACCATAAACTTCATCGGGTTGATTGGGAGTTTGTTCTTCTGCAGCCTCAGCTTCATTGAATGGTACCTCAGGTTTTAATTCATCAGCCGAAGGATAGGGAGTAACAGCTTCTTCAGCTACTTCCTGACGAGCCAAGAAACGACGTTTACCTTGGAAACGTTTGGGTTCAGCGGAGACCAAAGCAATAGCCAAGAAGGCAACGAAAAGGATTTGCATGAATTTAGCCATGTTTGAGTTTAGGGGTTTGAATTGGTTGACAGACAACTGATATCAAATCGTCAGCTCTACAAAGTATTTATACAAAATAATGTTCTCCTAGATTCTTAGCCCATCAATTGTTGTTCTTGTTGTTTTATTTTGTCGTACGTGTACGATTTGTTGTAGTGCCTTTGTTTGTAAGTTCAGTTTTTGTTTCGTGTTTAGTTCTTGTTCACTGACCGGTGGTGTTGGTGCTGGCACCTGATCGGCATATTTTAATAACTCACTGGGTTTGCCATTTAAACCATAGCGCTCACATGTCAGCAATTAATAATTCGAATACCTTGAAATCTGTACTTTACTTCCTATGATTGTTTTCTTCCGGAAGCGCCAACAAAAAAGCCTACGGCAGATGACATTTTTCGGGAATTTTCTCTGAATTAAAAAGTGTAAAATGTGTAATCTATTTATACAGAAATAACTAAATAACATAATTTGAAGGAAAGATGGGAATTGCTAGAGGACTATTTTATGCCTTTAATACGGCATTGCAAGTATGTTGATACTTGCCACTACGTGCGAATTTCAATAATCACAAAGGGATAATAGAATATTTATTTACCTTAAAGAAATTCTAAGTCAGTTTTTTCTCTTTCGAGTCGAACTTAATGATTCATATTTTGCAAGGAAAAGGGAAGCCATAGAGCGAACCTAGGAACTCACCATTTACGACATTCCTCCAAATTTCTTTCTAGAGAGGATACAAAATACTGAAAATCTCACAAATGCCTGTAACTCAGAAATATATTTCTGGGTATTCTTCAGCATTGTAGTCAAGTGTATTTATTCATGCACTATGTAGGCAGTCGAATCACTTCTATAGAGCGTCTTGTAATTAAATTTCCAAAGGGGAATTGATAATCTGACGACCACGATGCGTTAAAAAGTCTGAATCAGAGTAAAAAAATATACTTGTACCAGAATAAAATTTCATCGATGACCGGGATGAAATCTAGGCCTTATTTCTACATTACATGTTTTACTAGTTCCTATTATAATATTTTGACGCTAGGTATCAAAAGGCTGATAAATTTTGCTCGCCTTCTGACATATGTTTGATCGATATTACAGGAATCAACAAATACAATGTAAGGTTTTTTATGCATATTGCATTTTTAACAATCCTCTTGGATTGAATTAATTCAATCCAATCCAACTTGGCACTGGGACTAAATTCTTGTAGTCTATAGGTCAGATAGGTAATGCCGCTAGTAAATGTTAATCAGAACATCATTTTTTCATAGATACACAATGGAAACCCATCAATGATTTTCAGTAATTAGTCCACGACAAAAACTCAGACATACCAAAACCGGCAAATTTTCACTTGCTTTTAATTTGGGTAATTAACGAAATTTCTGACAAAATTTTCTTATAGAAATGTTTTCTCTGTTTCAGAACCTGCAATGTTTTACTAAAAAATTTTAGATTTTTGCAATACGGGAACAAAACCATTGGCAATTTCTTATAATTGCGTTTAAATACGATTCACTTCAACCGATTTCTGTATGTAACCCCAAAAAGTTGGATTGCCTTCGAAAACATTTTTGATATTAACCTTCACGATATTGACAATGGTATAGAATGAAAATATTATTACATATATTAAAAAGTATCTGACCGAAAGAAGTCTACATCCATTTCCGCTGCCAATCAGTAATTCTCTTGAAAATAACAACCAAACAATTAGTGTTATTTTTGTTTAATTATTATTGACTTAGATTTTTTATTAGTTATTTTTGGTACAAAAAAAAAAAAAACATGACTAAATTCTTTAGACTAGAAGCTACTCCAACAAATTTGTAATACTTAAGCTAATTTAATATGAAGACGGTTCAAATCATCGCCAGCAATGAAATTATTGAGCAACGTAGTAGAAAACGGGTTGAGCGACAAATTGGCGTTGGAGGCGGGCTGGGGCAGCTTTGCGCAATTTAGCGGGACGAGCAGCAACTCTGCGGGCACCAGCACGACGAGCGGTGAAACGAGCAGATTCAACAGCTTGTTCTTCTTCGGCAGCAGCGGCATCTTCAGCGGCAACAGCTTCTTCCTCTTCGGCTACAGCAACAGCTTCTTCCTCTTCAGCTGGGACAACATCATCAGTCTCGGCTGGAACATCTTGTTCTGGTGGACCATAGACTTCATCGGGTTGATTGGGAGTTTGTTCTTCGGGAGCTTCAGCTTCATTGAATGGTACCTCAGGTTTCAATTCATCAGCCGAAGGATAGGGAGTAACAGCTTCTTCAGCTACTTCCTGGCGGGCCAAGAAACGACGTCTACCTTGGAAACGTTTGGGTTCAGCGGAGACCAAAGCAATAGCCAAGAAGGCAACGAAAAGGATTTGCATGAATTTAGCCATGTTTGTTTGTTTGATTGGATGATTCGAAACTGATGTGGTTATCAAATCAAACTCAGCTATTTATACCACATTGTTTTATTCGGTATTGGTAATGAATCAATATTGTGCGTGTGCGGCTAGTTATGTTCGGCTTTTGTTTATTAAAAACCAAGCGGCATATTTTTTTTAATAATTCATAGTTGTGTGCGAAAACGAAGAATACTTCCTAACCATACATGGGGGTCAATCACATCCCCATGGTGAATAAGATATGTCGAATATGCAAATAACTTCCCGTGAAATGGTCGGACGAGAGTTTACCAAGGAAATATTGTCAAAAATGTGTATATTTTATTAAAGAAAAATTCCAAATATTTATGTAGTAGTCATAATAATGAGGAGAGAATCTTTTTTGACATTAAATATGGTTTATAATAGTACAATGTTAACGTAGATCTGCAAATCAGTGAAATAGTTTACACCTAGAAAAAATATATTTCCTCGAACTGATTTTCGTTTTACAAAACCAGTACTTAACTCCATGTAATTTCATGATTGCATAGTTTGAGCATTTCTCCCATAATCTTATATAAGGGGGAAGATCGTAAAGTTGTGAGATAGCGTAACTAGCATATGAAGGTTGAATTGTTATAGTCATTCGGTCTTCAATTTCTCAAGGAAGGGGTCTTGGTCCAGAAGTTGAAAGTGAGATAAATTTGACCACTTTTTGGTATATAACCCAAATAACATTCCTACTATTCGAGGTCATAGTCAATTTTCAATTTACTGGTCCCTCCCCATTTTAGATACTTGGATGGTCCCATGGAAATTTATTTATTTTAATGACTTTTAATTTGAAATTTCAGAAGTTCAGGGGATAAAAAACCTCATGGCCGAAAATGTTATATTAGGAACTAAAAATGTTCGCGCGCACCATGGGATGGGTCTTCCTTTAATAACACAAACTTTTTAATACTGTTCAAAATGTTCTATATTATAGAACATATTTTGTTTCGTTTTCTTTAAAGCGCATATTAGATCCATTGTCTGTAAATGGAATATGGATCAATGAGATAAATTTCCAATATTATTTATTAAACTTATTCATAAATTAAATACATATTTTACAACTCCCTTACACAATTTATACATAATGCCGTTACATTTCGGAGAAGAACTTCTATAGGAAAAATATTTTGCCCTAAAAATTACTTTTTCTTTCTAACAAAATTTTTCTGCAGACCACGTTATGAATGAATTTGATGGGCCAGATTTCCCATAGAATTTGTTTAATATTTTCTTTGTTTGTCGAATGTTTCCCCCAACAAGAATCAGATGAAGACTCGACCTTCTTTCTTCTTTGGAGAAATCTCAATACGAATATTTTTTAGTTGCCCTGCGTATTGAGTTTATGAAGGTATCAAAACTGTAGAAGAATGAATTTTGATTAGCGGAGTGATTAGCTTTAAGAGGATTTTGATTTAATTCGATTCTACACTAATTCAAGAATGTCTCTACAAAATTTCAAGCGAAAATCTTAAGAACTCTTGAAGATATAGCCGATTTATTGTGTCAGCATCAAGTGACGGCTAAAGGGCTTCTCAAACTTCAAACGTGTTTTTCTCTTTTGCGAATAATTGAAAAACTAATAACCCAATCGATTCCAAATTTTTACACGTTTCTCTGTGAGTGTATAGCTATCGTATGAACTAGGATAAAGCCAATCGTTAAAGATCTTCCTTATTTTTTAACTTGGTTTCTGGTCAAAAATCGGCGATTTTCCAATAATATATTTTCAAAGGTCCGCTTTTCGTTAATTTTAGAGTGAAGTCAATAATCCTATAGGAACTATAGTTCATACGAGAGCCAGACATGTATTCTTTCTAACACCGTTGGAATTTTCGGATTCCGATGTTCCAGTGAGGAGTTAAGATGCCCGCCATCAAAAATAAGGACTTTTCTTTAATCACAAAAAACAACAACAAAGAAATAACAAAAAAATTTTGTAAATTATTTTTCTTCTCTTTTAAATCTTCAAATATATATGTGCAAAGTTACAAACCTTAACAAGCATAGGTATTGATTTACCAGCCCATTGAAAATCTCGAAAAATTAAAATCGAGAATGGGTGGGGTTCTCTTAAGAGAATTGATAAGCAGTTGCGACAAAATCCGAATCTATAGTGTTTTTCCCCCAAAAATTAAACGATGTTATCTTAACCCTTTAAAAATCAACAAAAATATTTGGTTTACACAAATTTACTAAATCCATTTATTTTCAATTTCAACTACAAATATTAACATGGGTACAAATGATTCAAAAACATTTAATGGGCGATATAATAGAATAGAGGTTGAGGAACGTATTGAGGTTGGACCTGGAGACGAGCTGGAGTGGCTAAGCGCAGTTTAGCTGGGCGGGCACGTAGAGGTTTGCGCAACTTAGCTGGACGAACTGCAGCTTTACGGGCAACAGCACGACGAGAAGTTAAACGGGCAGAGGCGATTTCTTCTTCAGTTGGAATATATTCTTCTTCAACTTCCTCTTCTGGGGGGCCATAGACTTCATCGGGTGTATAAGGAGTTTCTCCTTCGCTAACAACTGGGGTGAAGGGAGTTTCGCCTTCAGCGACAACAGGTGTTTCACCCTCGGCGACAACAGTTGTGACAGATGTTTCGCCCTCAGCAGCAACAGGTGTGAATGGAGTTTGTCCTTCAGCGGCAACAGCTTCATCGAATGGTACGACAGGTTTCAATTCATCAGCGGTTGGGTAAGGGGTGACAGGTTCCTCCACTTCTTGGCGAGCCAAGAAACGATTACGTCTACCTTGGAAACGTTTTGGTTCGGCAGCAACCAATGCTACGGCCAAGAAGGCAACGAAAAGGATTTGCATGATTTTAGCCATGTTGTAGTTTTGGTTAGGTTGTGATTTGTTATGATATAATCGATAACTGATATTCAAATTGAATTAAACTGAACTATTTATACAAATACAAATTCTATTCAGAACATCTGACCATAATGTGTGTTGATTTATGCCATATTGAATATGGGTAGCAATGATTGTAGTGAATATAAAAATAAAACCCTCCCCAAGTGTTGTTGTGGTATAACAAAAAATTGTATCAATTGTTTGTAATACGACTTCTTCTAAGATCTCGCCAAATTGGGTGAATAACCTAAACACGGTGTTGCACATTATAGATAAACGTGATTGCTGGAAACCTGAGTATTTAAATTTCAAAGAATGCTTTGTCGATCGTGTTAATAGAATATAAATTTAGGGAGGAAGTAAACAAAAGGAAAGAAGCCCATATTTTTTTTCTGTGGTCTCGAGCATTAGTTCAGTACCTATATGGTATTATTTAAGTTTCAGAGTTGGACTATATGAGCATTTTTTAGACTAAGTGATATACTAGTTTATATGACTCTTTTTAACCCAACAATCATGTTGTGTTATTCTTACCCACGGACTTTAAATTTCTTTTTAGTTCCTCGCAGTAAATTTTTAATTTACGTGTATGTTCTAACGTAGCCACTATATTATGGTCCCATGGAAATTCATGAAAGTCCTCTGGGCCGAAAATTATAAATTAGGAACTATAAAGGTTCACCTGAACCATGGGATGGTTCTTCAATTCCTTTAATAACACAAACTATTTAATACTGGTCAAAATATCGTATATAAGCAAAATATTTTTACAATTGTCCTCCTACTGCACCATCGATGTGTCAATACTACTAGCAACTTTTCTGTAATAAATTTTTGCGTATTATACCTATATGTAGTAGAATGTAAGTCTCTTTTTACAATAAATTCTGGATTTCAAAATATTAACCCATCGTCATTAAAATACATTCATATGCCTACAACCAAACTAGAAACAGACAACAGTAATGTAGTTGGTCCATTTGAGGCCCTAACTATTAACCAGCATCCACACCAAACAACACGTTTCGTCATTGGCCAGAACTGAAGGTTCATGCTAAATTTCGTGCATATTAGCCCGTAGCTCGAATAAAAGATAGTATGGTCAGTCGGAGTGACACACAAAGCTAGATTGATTCAGCTAGTCTATATATGAAGTAGATGTGGGTGAAAATATACTCATTATACCCTCACAAGATACTTAATAAGTCCTTCCACATTAAAAGAAATTTGGTAATTTTATTTTAAATATATTTTATTTCAAAGCAATGACACAAAACATGACTAAATTCTCTAAATACGAAGCTATTAATGTCCTTAAGCTAATGTAATATGCATACGGCTCAAATCATCGCCAGCAATGAAATTATTGAGCAACGTAGTAGAAAACGGGTTGAGCGACAAATTGGCGTTGGAGCTGGAGACGGGCTGGTGCAGCTTTGCGCAATTTAGCGGGACGAGCAGCAACTCTGCGGGCACCAGCACGACGAGCAGTGAAACGGGCCGATTCGACAGCTTCTTCTTCAGCGACAGCTTCTTCAGCAGCAACAGCTTCTTCCTCTTCGGCTACATCAACGGCTTCTTCCTCTTCAACTGGGACAACATCATCAGTCTCGGCTGGAACATCTTGTTCTGGTGGACCATAGACTTCATCGGGTTGATTGGGAGTTTGTTCTTCGGGAGCTTCGGCTTCATTGAATGGCACTTCAGGTTTCAGTTCATCAGCCGAAGGATAGGGAGTAACAGCTTCTTCAGCTACTTCCTGGCGGGCCAAGAAACGACGTCTACCTTGGAAACGTTTGGGTTCAGCGGAGACCAAAGCAATAGCCAAGAAGGCAACGAAAAGGATTTGCATGAATTTAGCCATGTTTGTTTGTTTGATTTGTGTTTTGTTTGATTGGATGATTCGAAAATGATGTGGTTATCAAATCGAACACAGCTATTTATACCACATTATTCGATTCAGAGTGTGTAATGATTTAATTTTGTGCGTGTGCGGCTAGTTTTGTTGTTTTATAGTTTATTAAAAATCATGCGGCATATTTTTAATAATGCTCAGTTGTGTGTGAACTAAGTGCTTCACATCAAAGCCCATTCAGAACGTATGTGAAGTAATTTAGGTTTTTAAAATCTAAAGCTTTCATAAATTTTTTCAACTCATAATTATATTTTCAAAATATGTGTTTGCAAATTATTTGAAATTTTTCCTTTAGAAGATGCCATATTAATACAAAATATTAAATTCCTCTTATCTTATCCTCTGAGAAATAATATTTTAAAATATTAGATTTTTCATAACAGTTGCCTTTATTCTATTTCAAATTACAAATATTGTCACAATGTACAGTCTAAGTCGTATTTAATGGGCGATATAGTAGAAGAGAGGTTGAGGAACATATTGTGGTTGTACTTGGTAACGAGCTGGGGTGGCTTTACGCAATTTAGCTGGACGAGCACGGACTTGTTTGCGCAATTTTGCGGGGCGAACTGCAGCTTTACGGACTCCATTGCGACGAGTAGTTAAACGAGCAGAGGCAATTTCTTCTTCAGATACAACAGCATTTTCTTCAACAACTGGAGTTTCTACTGGAAAATCTTCTTCCTCTGGTGGGCCATAAACTTCATCAGGTGTGTAGGGAAGTTCTCCATCAGCGGCCACAGATGTAAAGGTAGTTTCTCCTTCAGCGGCTACAGATGTGAAAGGGATTTCTCCAGTAGCAGTAACAGGAGTAAAACGATTTTGTCCTTCAGCGGCAACAGCTTCGTCGAAAGGAACTTCTGGTTTCAATTCATCAGCAGTGGGATATGGAGTTACTGGTTCCTCTACTTCCTGGCGGGCCAAGAAACGATTACGTCTTCCTTGGAAACGTTTTGGTTCGGCGGCAACCAAAGCTATGGCCAAGAAGGCAACGAAAAGGATTTGCATGAATTTAGCCATGACTTCTTGACTGGTTTTTGATGTGTTATGAAACGAAACGATCGATAACTGATGTTCGATTTGAATTAAAATGAACTATTTATACTGATTGAATTCCGTTCAAAACTTCTATCAATAATGTGTGCTAATTTATACCAATTTTTATTGTGTTTCAATTATTTTAGCGATTGACAATATCAACACACAAATCTTGACATTAATTAGCTGCTAGAAATCCGGTGTTATTTTTTGTGAAAGATTTTTTCTGCGAAATTTCTTCCGTGAGGTTCCCATTTCATGATATTGCCAATTTTGGGTGAATAACCTAAGCACCATGTTTCAAAATAGAAGCGGACATTATTGCCGAATGTGCATTTGTGATTAATTAAAATTTTGATCACTTCAGTACTGCATTTGAATTGCATTAAGAGTTATGTGTCAGACACTCGAATAGAATACTGATGCGTTAAAGAAGTGGAAAGAAGGCAAGAAGGTGAGAAACTAATTGGTGATTAACAGTCTTCGTAGTTGCACCTAGAAAATAAGGAGATACATTTTGTTTACCGATGAATTCTCACTCAAATCGTGAAATGAAAAACATATTATTAAAATCACTGTTACAAATTCCTAGGTGATGGAAGTTATTGCGGAGCATTTCTGAGTAGCACATTTGTGGTTCCAAAGTCTTCTATTAGAAGACCTGCAGGCCTGCAATAATAAGTCATCAATGTTTTCCATAAGAAAACCTCCAAACCAAACCTTTTCCATAAGAAGACCTCCCACTTTTCTATCTTCAATAAGAAGACCTCCAAATCTTTTATAGGAGAACCACCATAAGTTCTTCTATAATAAAATATACCAGGAACAAAAAGACCTCTGGATCTTCTACTAGAATTTTTGGTCGTTTTCAAAACATATCTATTGATCTTCTACAAAATAGAATTACTGATATTTTATACTAAGATCGTCATATATGTGCAGTAGTACATTTGTGGCTCCAAAAAGATTTTCTAGTCTTCTATAAGAAGATCTCCAAGTCTTTTATAAGAAGACTTTAAAGTCTTCTATAAGAAAATCTACATGCCTCCAATAATAAGTCCTCTATGTTCTCTATAAAACCCCCAAATTCTCTTTAAGAAGACCTCCAAGTATATTCAATAAAAATACTTCCAAGTCTTTTATAAGAAGATCTTCAAGTTTTTTATAAGAAGACCTACTTGCCTCCAAACTCTCTTTAAGAAGACCTCCACGTTTCCTATACGTAGACCTCCAAATCTCCAAATAAGAAGACCTTCATGTCTTTTATAAGCAGATCTCCTTTTATACAGAAGATATATCAGTAACAAGAGCTATTCTTGTTACTGATATATCGTCTTGTCTTCAACTATAAATTTATTGGTCCTCCTCAAAAAGATCTATTGGTACTCTACAAAAAAAAAAAAAAAAAAATACTGATCTTCTATAAGAAGACTTCTATAGGGATAACTAGAAAAAGAAAACCCCATGACATTCTTACGTTGATCCTTATTGGTCTACTACAGGATCAACCTTTGGATCAGGTTCTTCTCCTATAGAAAGTCATCCTGCTATAGGAAGGCATCTTGGTTTCCTATATGAAAATTCCTTGTCGTTGTATAAAAATGTTTTTTGGTCTTCAATAGAAGTATATTTTGGATTCCTTTAGGAAATTGTATTCGTTTCTATTTGAAGACTCCTTGAACTAAAATAGATATACTAAAATTATTTCAATACATATCGAATAGCAGAGAACATCTGAGACCAAAAAGTTCAACCGGACTAAAAAAGTATTTGTTCTGGTATGTACCATTTTTATATACATATCGATTTTTATTTCAAAACTATTTTACCACTTTATTTCCCAACTATTCCAGTTCAATTATACAAATATACAGATGTAATACGGCTGTTAACATGGTCCGACCGTAATTTGTGCTTATATGGCTACCTAATGTTATTGCCACTCTTTTTATATATTGTAAAAAATTGACAACTCATATTTTTTTTTTTTTGGTAACAAAATTTATTTACTCATTGTATTTTATTTACAAGTTCAACTAAAAATATTAACATGGCTAACAATGGGTCCAAAAGCAATTGTTAATCCTTTGGTTCATGATTGAAATTCCATTTAATGAGCGATGTAGTAGAAGATAGGTTGAGGAACATATTGTGGCTGGACTTGGAGACGGGCTGGGACAGCTTTACGCAATTTAGCGGGACGAGCACGGATAGGTTTGCGCAATTTAGCTGGACGAACAGCAGCTTTGCGGACAGCGCCACGACGAGAAGTTAAACGAGCAGAGGCAATTTCTTCTTCAGTTGGAACATATTCTTCTTCAACAACATCTTGAGTATCTACGACAGCTTCATCTTCTTCTGGTGGACCATAGACTTCATCGGGTGTATAGGGAGTTTCTTCTTCGGTAACAACAGGGGTGAAGGGAGTTTCGCCTTCTGGAGCTACTGGTGTCAATGGAGTTTCGCCTTCGGCAGCAACAGGGGTGAATGGAGTTTGTCCCTCAGCGGCAACAGCTTCATCAAAAGGAACTTCGGGTTTCAATTCATCGGCACTTGGATAAGGGGTAACAGGTTCTTCCAATTCTTGGCGAGCCAAGAAACGATTACGTCTACCTTGGAAACGTTTTGGTTCGGCAGCGACTAATGCTACGGCCAAGAAGGCAACGAAAAGGATTTGCATGAATTTAGCCATGTTTTGTTTTTTGTTTTGCTTCGTTATGGTATACTCGATAACTGATGTTCAACTTTAACTGATTTGAAATATTTATACCAATCAAATTATAGTCACATCTGTTGTGTGCGTGTGCACAGTGTACATAGGCGTGATAATTTATGCTAACAGGTATTGTGTGTGTTTAAATTATTCATGATGATGTTCAATATCACAGCAATTGACGTTTTTAATTACGTTAGACGCCAGGTTTGAGAAATACTTCCTAATACAACTCCTTCCTAAAAATCAATGTACTTTCAGTGGTAAACATAAATGTAGGGTAATAGGGTGAATAACCTATATATTTAGTTTTATTTTATTAAATGAAACTAAATATTTGTATATTTTAAAAATTATATTATTATATTATTTCATAATAATATTGAATTAGATTTATTACAACTTTAACTATGTTGCAGTTAAGGGTCTTCCGTGAGAAGAGAAGGACGTATAAGTGGATTTTTCGTCTCATATCAGAACTAGGATCAAATATTAAATTCTTTAATATTTTGTTTTTGCAAAATAGTCTTTAATATAGTTTATGTAGTCAACATCTTTCAATTGTGTATACATTTAAGGCATTTGTACCATGCCCACATTTCAAAAATGATCATATATCGATTCTGGAAATATGTTACTTATGTGCATTTTTTGCTGTTGTTCACGGAGTTTTTTTTGTTTTTGTAAAACATATCCTTCTCCTAAAACGATTCCTTTTTCATTCTTATTTTTCGAAACCTTAAAACGACATTTTTTAACATCCGAATAGTTGGATGTTAAAAAAATGTATTTCTAAAGATTTTAGATATGGTCATCGAAAAAAATTAATCAATATTCGTGTGTTTTCGCCGTCATTTTCTACCATTCCCGATCCTTTTCTAGAAAACATACAAAACGTATGTATAAATTGTACATTATGAAGAACTGCCTATATGGTCTTAAAAATTTATCATAAAAGTGCCCATTATGTCAAATACATTAATTATACAGATCCCTACATTTTTGAACGGTATTTTCAGACAATATTCCAGATTATGGTACCTGTTTTAATCAACCGTATGAGATGTATATCATTTGAAAGCTACAATCATTGCTAATACCATGGAATAATTTGTCAGCCAAACAGTTTTCACAACAGTGAACCATGCTAAAGTTCAGTATAAGGTTTTCTGATTAAGGATCGGTTAAAATTGGAAAATGACGAAGAAATCATACGAATATCGATTTCTCGTCTTTGGGGACTCTTTCTAAAATCAGATGTGTGACATTTTTGTAGAATACTTTTTGGTCGAAAAACTTCGTCTATGGTATACCATTTTCTATGAAAATACAACTTGTTCATTTTTGTTGTTTGTTTATCCTTTGACTATCTTCCTGTCACATTTTGTTTGTCGAATCAATAGCAAGTTGTATATTTTTGACAGTTGTGCCACATTGTTGTTTTTTGGATTTTATCTCGTGAATATCTTATATTATTTAAAAATCCGCCTCAAGTTGAAAAAAGTAAAACCGGGTTTAAACCAAAACCTAAGCTAATAATTTAAAACCCAGCTATGGGTTCTCTTCTACTATCATATGCTTTCAGATTTTGGGGGTCCTGATTGGATTTAGATTTTAGTGCTGCACTATGTAATCGTTCCGTTTAATCCTCATACAAATTATTATTTCTTCTCAAAAAGTCACCCTTTAAAATTTTTCATAAGACATTTTCATTTCCTAAATTTTGTATTTATTTCGATATAAATTCCAAAATGTTTGCTCTACTGTACATAATTTGGTACCCCTTAGTTTTCATATTAGCACATATATTGTACTATTTCTTCACAATTAGTGAAATTTCCAAAAAAAGAAATATTGTTTTTCGATTGACTACAAAGATGTCACACAGGCTTCCGCAAATAAAAATTAAAAACAAACATATATAAATTTTCGCAAAATATATTTAAATGATCAACTCAAACATTAACATGGCCATAATTTGTCTAAAATTTTTATTATCACATCGTTGGTCTCCGATTTATACCAATTTAATGGGCAATATAATAGAAGAGGGGTTGGGGTACATATTGTGGTTGAACTTGGAGACGGGCTGGAGAAGCTTTACGCAATTTAGCGGGACGGGCAGCAATTTTACGCAATTTAGCTGGACGAACAGCAGCTTTGCGGGCACCGCCACGACGAGAAGTCAAACGAGCCGAGGCGATCTCTTCTTCGGTGGGTACGTATTCTTCTTCTACCACTTCTTGGGTATCGACTACAGCTTCCTCTTCTTCTGGTGGACCATAAACTTCATCAGGTGTATAGGGAGTTTCTCCTTCGGCGGCAACAGGGGTGAAGGGAGTTTCTCCCTCGGCGGCAACAGGTGTGAAGGGAGTTTCACCTTCGGCAGCAACAGGTGTGAATGTAGTTTGTCCTTCAGCAGCAACAGCTTCATCGAAAGGAACTTCAGGTTTCAATTCATCAGCGGTGGGATAAGGAGTAACTGGTTCTTCAACTTCTTGACGGGCCAAAAAACGATTACGTCTACCTTGGAAACGTTTTGGTTCGGCGGCAACCAAAGCCAAAGCCAAGAAGGCAACGAAAAGGATTTGCATAAATTTAGGCATATTGTTGTTGTGGTTAGATTGTGATTTGTTCGGAAACTGATGTTCTAGTTGATACTGAATGAACTATTTATACAAATCAAATTAAACACAAATCTGACGGGTTAGTGGGTGTGTACGAAGCCTGTTGTGCGGTAATTTATGCTTAGTGGCGCTGTGTGTTTCAATTATTCATGACAATGGACAATACCACAAACACTTCACGATAATAATTGGGTGCTAAAATCACGACGATATACATGAAATGTACTTCCTATGATGAGGACTCCTTCCGTAAGTTTGGAGTAGGCAATCTGACATACTTTGTAGCGAATTCGGGTGAATAGCCTAAAAATAAGGCATTTGAAATTCAAATACGCAATTCAGATTAAATAATGTGTATGTTAATATATTAAGTGAATATAATAATTTGTTTTTGTGTTATTTAAAATAGGTAATTTTAAAGGCATTTTCCAAATGTTAAGAATCGTTTTGGCTGTCTAATAAACAGACATCCGAATCTAAGAAAAAACCAAAGATTTATTGAATGGTTGCCTTTGGGGAAATATTGCTTATTCACAACTAACTCGCTATTTTCTAATCACACATTGCTGGCATTCATTTTGATATTTCCCAAACCTATTTAGACAATTTTTCACAAGTGGTTTATCCTCAAATATCCCGGAATCCCAAATAGTGTAGTATCGTTATTTGGGAGCTAAACCAAATAGTAAGCCGACATTGATTTTTGATGCATTGACACCTTATAAAGTCCTAAAGAATTAAATACGAGCCAATTTGGTCGAAAAACATGTCAAATATTCCCAATTACCGAAATTTGGGATGTTGCGTTATATGAGAGCAATGCTAAAATGTGGACCTATATTTATAAAATTTAGTAGGGAAAATTTACTTCCTATTCTAGCTTTTCACTATTTTAAGGTATTCATTTCGAAAAAACTCTATTTTAATTTCGACTTCAAATATGGATATTCACATTGTGTGGCAATTTTATAGAAGTTATATTGGCAGTATTTGACTTAGTGGGTTTCTAAGCAAGGTTCGGAGCAATGGTAAAAAGCAAATTCCTGCAGGTAGCAACACAAAATATAGAGTTTTATCATCTTTATTACATAATTCGATAAAAATGGAAATTCTTCCGATGTATATGAGTAAAATAGTATTTTCAAATCAAAAAATGAAATATTTAACATACATTTCCGACATATAATACATAAGCCAAAAACATCGGAAACCCACGCAAACCTATAAAGTTTTTGACAAAAGAGTGATTCCCATCAATCAATATGAAAATTACGTATGCTTCCCTACCAACATTTAAAATTATCTTCCCAAAAAAGTATAGAATTTTTATCAGGACTAGTAAGGAATAGCCAGATATATGTAAAAAAATACTATTGTAATAAATGACGTTTACTACATGTATTACATTTTATACGGGTACAGTTTCCACATTTACACTTTTTTGACAGTCGAAACCCTAACAATTTGTCATATGGACCATCCCTATCCCCAGCCGTGAAGGAAAATATTGAAATAAGATGGTACTTATCGGCTCACTCATTCCAGTACATTCCCTACAAAGGGTCAACATTTTAAAAACTTGTAAATCTCATATCCAATTCATCGAACCTATTCACATCAAAATATAGTTACCTTACATAGATCATTTTCGAAGGTGGGAACCCTGGGTCACCACAAAGGGTCAACATTTTACAAACCAATAAATTTTATTTTAAGCCAATGGAATAATCGACTGAATTCATAGTTTTCACATCGTAATATTTAACCAACTCTACTTCAAATCCGAAGATGAGATCCGTAGGACAACCTCTTCTGGTATTATCCACAGATGGTCAACTCTTTGATGAAAACTTATACATTTTATCATAAATCCTGTTTATAATTCCGTAGACCTCCCCAAACCATAGGCTGAGCATTTACACATGTCGGCAACACCGACTGACACTTTTTTACTACTTTTTTTCATTTCGATTTTATTACATCAATGGTAATATGTACAATTTAACAATCAACAATAATTAATCCTTTGGTCCATGACGCCCTATGAACTTATTGGGAAATATAATAGAAGATAGGTTGAGGAACGTAATGTGGCTGGACTTGGAGACGGGCTGGGGCAGCTTTACGCAATTTAGCGGGGCGGGCATGGATAGGTTTGCGCAATTTAGCTGGACGAACAGCAGCTTTGCGGACAGCGCCACGACGAGAAGTTAAACGAGCAGAGGCAATTTCTTCTTCAGTTGGAACATATTCTTCTTCAACAACATCTTGAGTATCTACGACAGCTTCATCTTCTTCTGGTGGACCATAAACTTCATCAGGTGTATAGGGAGTTTCTCCCTCGGCGGCAACAGGTGTGAAGGGAGTTTCACCTTCGGCAGCAACAGGTGTGAATGTAGTTTGTCCTTCAGCAGCAACAGCTTCATCGAAAGGAACTTCAGGTTTCAATTCATCAGCGGTGGGATAAGGAGTAACTGGTTCTTCAACTTCTTGACGGGCCAAAAAACGATTACGTCTACCTTGGAAACGTTTTGGTTCGGCGGCAACCAAACCCAAAGCCAAGAAGGCAACTAAAAGGATTTGCATAAATTTAGGCATATTGTTGTTGTGGTTAGATTGTGATTTGTTCGGAAACTGATGTTCTAGTTGATACTGAATGAACTATTTATACAAATCAAATTAAACACAAATCTGACGGGTTGGTGGGTGTGTACGCAGCTACTTGTGCGGTAATTTATGCTTAGTGGCGCTGTGTGTTTCAATTATTCATGACAATGGACAATACCACAAACACTTCACGATAATAATTGGGTGCTAAAATCACGACGATATGCATGAAATGTACTTCCTATGATGAGGACACCTTCCGTAAGTTTGGAGTAGACAATCTTTCATACTTTGAAGCGAAAAAGGGTGAATGACCTAAAATATAACGTTTAAGAGTTGAAGTAGAAGTGCAATAATGCATTTGAAATTCAAATACGCAATTCTATTACATTAAATAATGTGTATTGTTAACTTATTAACTTAATATAATTATTTGTGTGTGTTATATAAAAAAGGCAAATAAAATGCATTTAAAATGTTGAGAATCGTTTTGGTTGTCTGACTTTGGAATTAATGTTTATTCACAACTAACGCGCTATTTTCTAATCACACAATCCACGTACTAATTTTGATGTTTCACAAACCTATTTTAACAATTTTCCCCAAAAATGTGTTATGCCCTCCAATATCCAGCAATGCCAAATTACAGCCAATACAATTGGAAAAGGCGGCTAACCTCCTTCAAAATGACCCATTTATGGGAAATTATGTTAATATATATGTCCATGAAACCTTTGTACTAAATTACAGTCACTACGTTGGGCATTTTCCCAACGCTTATGTTGGCTTAAGACATTAAGATTAAGACATACAAAATATGTTATCGTTATCTGGGAGGTAAACCAAATAGTAAACCGATATTTATTTTTTGTAAGGAGATTTGACACCTCTTAAAGACCTAAAAAATTAATTTGGAGCCAATTTGGTTGAAAAACATGCCAAACCCCCAAAATATGGAAAAATGGGGGCCATCCTGAATCTTGAGCCAATGTAGGGATATTTTCTACCCAATGAGAAGCCAAAATATAAAATTACAAGCAATTTTGTTGAAATACGAGCCAAATCTTCCCAATAAACGAAATTTGGGGTGTTGCAATGGAGCAATGCTACAATGTGGACCAATATTTATAAATCTTTGGAGGACATTTTTCTTCTTTCCTTTCTTCATTTAGAATCCAAAGTGGTAAATTACAAATTCATTCTTCTTTGATAGGTTCGCAACAAAACTATTTACTGTAAAACTTAAAGTATACCTTTAGTCGTTTCGAATTCTAGCCTTTCACTGCTTTAAGGTATTCATTTCGAAACAACTCTTTTTTAATGGCGACTTCACGCAAATATGGATATTCACATTGTGTGGCAATGCAGCAACGCGACATGTAGAGTTTTTATCATCTTTATTACTTAAGGGAGATTTTCATTTGAAATTTTGTAGGGACATTCTAGAATTAGAGTAGATTCGTATTAAATCAAAAAATGTTTGACACCGAGAATGGGGGGTCCCCATTATGCTTTACTAAAATCCCTACCAAATTTTAAAAATATCCGCCCACAAAAGTTTAGATTTTTTATCAGGACTAGTAAGGAATAGCCAGATATATGTTCAAAATACTATATATTATGAAAAATAACAGTCGAATTTCATCGAACATTTACACATCGAAGTATGGTTACCCTACACAGATCATGTTCGAAGGTGGGACCTATGGGTCACCTCCCCCACAAAGTGTCAACATTTTACAAACCTATAAATTTAATTTAAAGCGAATGGAATAATCGATTGAATTCTTAGTTTGCACATCGTAATATTTTACCAAACCTAATTTAAATCAGAAGATGAGGTCTATAGAGCAACCGCTTCTGGTACCTCTCTACAGATGTTCAACTCTTTGATTAAAACATATACATTTTATAATAAGTCTGAATACACCGACTGACACTTTTTTACTATTTTTTCATTTCGATTTTATTACATCAATAGTAATGTGAACAATTTAACAGAAAACAATTATTAATCCTCTGGTCCATGGCTCCCTATGAGCTTATTGGGAAATATAATAGAAGATGGGTTGAGGAACGTATTGTGGCTGGACTTGGAGTCGTGCTGGGACAGCTTTACGCAATTTAGCGGGGCGGGCAGCAACTTTACGCAATTTAGCTGGACGAACAGCAGCTTTGCGGACAGCGCCACGACGAGAAGTTAAACGAGCAGAGGCAATTTCTTCTTCAGTTGGAACATATTCTTCTTCAACAACATCTTGAGTATCTACGACTGCTTCATCTTCTTCTGGTGGGCCATAGACTTCATCGGGTGTATAGGGAGTTTCTTCTTCGTTAACAACAGGGGTGAAGGGAGTTTCGCCTTCTGGAGCTACTGGTGTCAATGGAGTTTCGCCTTCGGCAGAAACAGGGGTGAATGGAGTTTGTTCTTCAGCGGCAACAGCTTCATCGAATGGAACTTCTGGTTTCAATTCATCGGCACTTGGATAAGGGGTAACAGGTTCCTCCAATTCTTGGCGAGCCAAACGATTACGTCTACCTTGGAAACGTTTTGGTTGGGCGGCAACCAATGCGATGACCAAGAAGGCAACGAAAAGGATTTGCATGAATTTAGCCATGTTCTATTGATGTTTTGATTGTGATTTGTTATGGGATAATCGATAACTGATGTTCTATTCCGAATAAAATAACCTTTTTATACAAATCAAATTCAAATGAATACAGCATTTATAGTTCGTTATTATTGTCTGGAATGCTAACTGCTGATGGTGGTCGGTGTTTTAATTATTCAATGTGAAATATCGTACAATGTCACAAGTGGTAGCATTAGCTGTGTTTGTTGGAGTTTAACGCACAAACAGCGCGTTGACCAGTGTGTGAAACTTCCCCTGAATATTATTTCCGTATAATTTGAAAATATTATATTCAAAGCTCTGGCGGAATAAAGTTAATAATTCAAATGCCTGGTTTCAGTAAAATCAATTTAATATTCGTATGGCTATATCATTTGATAAAGTCGGAAAAGAACCCATAAGATCGGATGTTTGGTTCATTGTTGCGCACAATAACTCTTTAAGGGTACGTGATTTAATTATAATATGACTATAGTAATATTTATAATAAATATAATTAAGTTCCTCCCCTATAACTTGGTCTAAATTATTTAAAAAAAATAGTTAAATATGCCAGTTAAGTTCAGACAGGCGAACTTCTTTTACACACTACTATGTATAACGCATTTACATGGAGGTTTTGCTATTGTAAATTGTACAGAGGTGTTTTTTTATCCTCAGAGGAAACGAATCACAAAAATACCCATACAGGTGGAAAATTGGTTTAACACTTTGAGTATGGTGAAAAAGCTTTTTACAAGTTGGACAAATTTCCTTCAAGAATCTCTTTTCTCTTTTTCCACAATGCCGTACATATTTACAAAGTATTTTCTCCTTATTTTTTAACTTGGTTTTTGGTAAAAAATCGGCAATTTTCCAAAAATATTTTTTTAAAGGTCTGCCATTTTGCTAATTTTAGGGCGAAGTCAATAATCCTACATCATACGAGATCCAGACATGTACTCTTTCTAACACCGTTGGAATTTTCGGATTCCGATGTCCCAGTGAGGAGTTATCATGCCCGCCATCAAAAATAAGGGCTTTTCTTTTCCAATATAAATCAACCTTAGACTTAATCTAGGTTTCGTAAAAAATATTACAATTCCCAAAGTTTGTGCAAAGCAGTAACTCCTATTATGCGTACCGGACATGAATTTCTAAATCAAATCCAAATTGTCTAAAATGTTTTTTTTTTAACTTTAAGAGGGTTCTAAAACTTTAATAGGTTAAAAAAATTCCCTTCTGACGGGAAGTATATATTTGTATAAATATTTCGATTACACAAACTACTCAGTTTAGAGGATGGTCATATTCGATGTAGGCCATGCCACTGCAATTGCCCATTTTTTCTTACAGCCTTCATATAAGGGTATTTACGAATTTTAGGTAATTTCCCATTGGCTGTAATGTAGTATTTCATATTTCCAGTAAGTAAGAAAAAAATTAAACAAATTTCGACATAGTTTCACCATATTCAAACACCATAACTATTAGCATGTGTCAACAATCAATTTAAGATATTATAGAAAATATTGTAGAATATTGCTAATTTGAATCTTTTAAATTTGAATCTTCGTTTTCCAAACACTCAAGGGTTTTGGAGGTTCAATATAGGTCCATGTATTGACCTAGACCCTAACATAATGGTCTCGTTCCTAAGAGTCTGTCTGTCGTGAAAAATAATTAACAATGTGGGCCCATGATTTGACATACCTCCCATATTTTAGCTAGTTTGAATGCACACATCTTAGTGTATTTTTTTAAGATTCTTTTTATTATTTTTCGTAATTGGTTTTATCGAATAGTATTCTTAATTATCAACCTAAAAAATATTAACATGACTAAAAAATGTGGTCTAAATTATGCAAACAATGTAATTGGTGAAAGTCTAGTCTAGATACTCCATTAACTTATTGAGCTACGTAGAAGAAGACGGGTTGGCGAACAAATTGACGTTGGAGACGAGCAGGAGCAGCTTTACGCAATTTAGCGGGACGAGCAGCAACTCTGCGGGCACCAGCACGACGAGCGGTGAAACGAGCAGATTCGACAGCTTCTTCTTCAGCGGCAGCTTCTTCAGCAGCAACAGCTTCTTCTTCTTCTTCAACTGGGACAATGTCATCAGTTTCAGCTGGTAAATCTTGTTCTGGTGGACCATAGACTTCATCGGGTTGATTGGGAGTTTGTTCTTCGGGAGCTTCAGCTTCATTGAATGGCACCTCAGGTTTCAATTCATCAGCCGAGGGATAAGGAGTAACAGCTTCTTCTGCCACCTCTTGACGGGCCAAGAAACGACGTCTGCCTTGGAAACGTCTGCGAGGAGCTTCAGCACTGACCAAAGCAATAGCCAAGAAGGCAACGAAAAGGATTTGCATGAATTTAGCCATGTTTGTGTAGGTTGATTGATATGTTCGGTTGAAAAGCAACTGATACCGAACTATTTTCGATTTCAACTATTTATACGATCGGTGATTTTCTTAAGAATTTTTGACGAATAAATTGCTTTGTGTGTCCATCCATGATATGTAAATGATATGCCGTGTAGTTCTTGGTGCTGTCGGTGTCGGTGTAGCTGTTGTAGTTGGTGCGTGTGTGTGTCTGTGTTTAGACCTGATTGGAATAATTTAATAATTTCATAGGTTTTCGTACAATAACCCTAAGTTCCATAGTGACCGGAACTTTTATTGGAATATATTAATTTGTTGTCGTTGTTGTTCAAATAGTTCAATAGTGAGTAGAGCATTACAATTGTCAAGAAGATTTATGAATCAATTAGCATGAAGTGGGTTACACATATTCTGGAAATTTAATTCTTTTACATTGAAAATGAAAATAAATGTTTACAAAAATTATTTATAAATATCACGCTGGTTGTTGTTTTAGAATACAAAAACATGTTTGTCATTACATAATATGTAAGTCTTTAATGTAATTAACATTCATACAAAGTAAATTAAATTAAAAATATTAAGTATCGTCTTATGGGTCACCAGTTAAATATGAATTTATCAGACTTGGTACCATTTGAATTTAAAATTTTTTTGATTTGTAAGACCCCTACCTAAAACTCGATATTTTTCATCGCAAAAGTAAAAGGCTTGTATTTATATGAATGTTACCGAAATACGCCGAGCGTACGAAATTTCACGTTGAACTTATTTAACTATGAAATAATGTAGTTTTTGATGTAGAAATTCCTATTGGGGATGAAAGACCCTATGGAATATATGAAAACCCCAGAAGGAAAAATTCGACATAGATCAAAGTTTGGAGATATTGCGTGATAATTTTTTGATGGCGAAATTATTATAATTAAAGAGATAGCTTTTTGGCATTAAATTTCTTCACTAAATTCGAATAAGGGATTTTTTGTTGAACATTTTTTTATTTCCAGATCGATTCCTTGTGTGTCCTTTTCGTCCTTAATTTATTGAACCGGACTCCAATTATCACAAGATGAGATTTTTCATCATCGTAATATTCATAATGTTGCTCAAACGATTTTAGGTTCGGTCCTCAAAGACGTGATCTATATTTTAAAATTTTAATGGGCCATTTTTAATTTTGCCCATTTCTTGTCAATAAAACCCTATATGTATGTCAATAAATTCAGTATAAAAAATGTCTATATGAAGTTATCTCTACAAGTATAATAGGGTCACCAGCAAAATAAATGATGACGCCATATTCCCGAACTTTGACTTTTTATTCGCTTGAAGATATGGATACGACGTATAAATAATATAAGTAAGTTTGGCTGTTCCTACAATACTGTCTACGATAGGATGCCTCAAGTTAAAATATCAAGCCTCCTTACAGATCCATAGAAAATTCGCACAGTTTATATGAATGTGAATGCTTAATTTTTTATTGCCCAATTTTCTAAGTATATTTATTGTGTTTCTCTTTACTTTTTTGTTTTTTAGGAAGATCAGCATAAGGAATTACAACAAGTAAAAAAGTGTCATTCGGTGTTGTCAACATATATAGCCGTACGGATTCATCTCTGCGGCATTGCTGTCTAGTGTTGAGGTAGGTAATTTTTTAATTAACTTTACAATTATTCAATATGTTGTGGGAGAGGGGCTAGAAGTGCCTTCTTCAGATATGTATACAGTTTGAATGAAATCGGTTTGTAAATCGACTGCTTTACGTCCATGAGGCACATTTTTAACGTTACAATGTATATATACCCTCTCTAACCACACGGCTGAGACTATAAAAAGCAATAGATCGAAAATTCGATATTTTTGTTAGATTAAAAAATTGACTTCTGCCTTCATCAAGTCTAAAAATTGTACCTTCTAACACATCTTTCGAAGTTATATATATTTTTTTTCATATTATCATTCTAATTTTTTAGATGTACTAAATTTTTATTGCCATTCCTGATATTTATTTATTTTATATATGGACTATATCTTAAAATATCCTATAATATTAAACCACGGAGTGTGTCTCCCTTTCATTGTTCTGCAGAAGGTTATCACAAAAAATAATTTCAATTAAACACATAATTTATATTCTGTACAATAAAATTGTATACAATTATTTATTTCGGATTGTTCGTTAGTACGGGTTTTTTTAGTAGATTTTCACCTAAGATCTTCAACATGACTAAATTAGATTTATGAGGGTGCAAACAAAAAAAGACTAACATTAATATAAGACCACATCAAAGTAAGCTTGGAACTCCTTCAATCAGTTATCACAGTCAGCCAATGGTTTATTTAATGACGTTTAGCTGGGACAGCCTTACGCAATTTGGCGGGACGAACAGCACTCTTACGGAGACCAGCACGACGAGCTGTCAAACGAGCTGGAACTTCTTCTTCGGCGACGGGGACGACAGCTTCTTCTTCAGCAACTGGGGCTTCAGCTTCAACTTCACCTTCAACGGGAGCAACATCATCGGTAGCAACTGGGACATCTTGTTCTGGTGGGCCATAGACTTCATCGGGTTGGTTGGGGATTTGTTCCTCTTCAGGGGTGGAGGCAGCAGCTTCATCGAAAGGCACTTCGGGTTTCAATTCATCAGCGCTGGGATAGGGAGTGACAACATCAGGTTCAGCAGCGACTTCTTGGCGGGCCAAGAAACGGGTGCGCTTGGCTTGGACGCGGGCATAACGAGAACGAGGTGCTTCAGCGGAACACAAGGCAATAGCCAAGAAGGCGACGAAAAGGATTTGCACGAATTTAGCCATGTTTTAGGTTTTGGTTTTGTGATTTGTTAGTTGAATAGACGGCAACTGATGTCGATTGACCACCGCCGGAGGGTATTTATATGAAAGTGCCGCGCTTAGAAACTGAACGAATTAATTGCTAAATTCAGTGCTGCATTTTAATACTCAAATTTAATGGTTTGTCAAAGTTCTGGTGATGGCAATGCTAATATCAGCAGCAAGTGCGAAAAACATGTTTGGCATAACTTAAGAATTCGCCACCATCATCAACAATTAAAACAACAACAACAACAAAAACCAAACAACTACCCCCAACTACTACTCACGCTCACATACAGTCAGCTTATATCATCGGTAACTGAATAAATTCTAGACAGGCCTAAACTATTTTTGGTTAGAACATCCGTCGTTTGAAGCAGTTTTTAGTCTTAATATGTCCGATAGAACAATCACAATTCAAGGCATCTTCCTTGACCCACACCCCACATTTTATTTATATTTTTCAAAATTCTTAGCTAACATGCGGATGGTTACTTATTTGTTTTGTATTGCCAAAATAATTCTGGGGATTTTATTGGCCACATTATAAATGCAGTTCAAATTCGAGCTAACCAAATTCAGGGAATAGCTAATTGATTGATTCGAATTGCCATGTACATGCCATGTTAAGTAAAATTAATTCATTTCCGTATAATAAACCGCCTCACCATCGACCTTGATATTTAATACTTCCACTTTGTTTGGCAAAAGTTTGCAAAACAAAGCTTTAAAAGAGCCAAATTAAGGTGCCAGAAGTCAGTTTATTACTTGGACATATTTGGAGGAATATAGACGGACGGCAATTTTTTTTGATTTCCCATCTATTAGAAGGAGGCTACAATGATGAATTTATCATTTCGTATAAAACTTCTTAAAATCCTATATTTAGATTCCAAAATCTATGTAAATATGTAACTAGGTCTAGCCATGACTGTCAGTTAGCTCCCCCTTGAAGCGTCGATTGCCTTCAGGTAATACATTTTGAAATAGTTTTAAATTAGAAATTTTGAAAAATGGGAACGACGTGTACTTCGCTTTTTTCTTTGCTTTGATATCTCAAGGCTACCTAATATTCATTGAGATATGTCCGAGCATGCATTGCGTCGATGCCATGCAATTCATCTTCAAATGAAACTGTTCATTTTATTTTGAAATCTTGTTAAGTTATAATGCCCATTTATCAACATTTTCTACGCTCAAGATCCTTGTTCCAACAAATAGGTGGGCGCCGAGAGGGTGAGTGTGCCTGTGTGTTTGCCTTTTTGATATAGAAGTCAATGGTAGCTCCATTGAATACAAGCAGGATTTGGAAAGACAAAGAAGAGGAAAAAAATAATAAGGATGTAGGGCAAAAATCCTTTCTATACTCTGCAATAATAAAACAGTTGTTGCTTTAGTAACCAAAACACCCAACAACAAAATAAACGACACACTAAAGCAGGAGGAGGAGCAGGACAAAAAATTCCTGGCAGAAGTAGAAGAAGAATTAAATTGCATTGTCATGCTAAAGCCAAACAAATTTATGCTCCCCAAAGACATAATAACAATGATAATTGGATGCTTGCCAATGATATGCATTTCACCATTTACACAAGCACACACACACACACGTTCATCCTCACACATTCTCAACCATAGTCATGGCCACGAAAACACATATACATAGAACAAAGGGATAACCATAACGCACATTTGCACGAACCAACGCGCCCACCCTCACTCACATAGCCACATCATAGATAAAGATCATCTATAAGGAACCGAAAGTGGTCTGGGCTCCTCCACCCACCACCAAAGGACTCAAAGAAAATAATAGCTCAGCTAGAACACCACCTAACAACAGAGCAGCTACCGCCTGCATTTTGTCTGCATTATAGCTCACTGAGTTTGCTTCTTCATCTTTCATTTAGCATAAGGACATTCATACAACGCCAGAGCCGAACAACACAGCAACAACAACTCAGCTCGAGAGTGTAATGCATCACATGGAGAGCCAATGCTTGCCGTATGAGACGCTCCTGGCTGTTTGCTGGTCACGTTGTAATTCCAACGAAACAAATTTGAGTGACTATGTGTGTTTTTTATGCATGTGTATATTTGTGTGTGTGTGTGTCTGTGTTTGACTGGACACAAACAACACAGTGTCTGGACAAACAATGAACCACCAGCAGCTCTGCTGCTGCCGAACTAAGACACCATGTATTGTAGTGGCAGTCTCAGGATATCAGAGATCATCATTTCAAGATTATTAAAATCAAACAAATGACTTTAACACAAAAGATGGATTTAATTTATTTATTTACAAACTGCTGGATTTAAGCTTGAGCCGGAGAAGGAGATGGCCAGACAAACCATAAAATTAATTTGCAGATTTCAGGTGTCATGTGGCAGGCGTCAAAGTGAAAAATACAATTTCAAATGTCTTAATGTGTTCTGTTGTACAAACTGATGGATGAGTAAAAGGAACGGAAACGAAGGACTTTTCGTATACGAAACTTTCAAATTGAGTGGAGACTCACTTCGACAATATTCTTGTTAAGAAGTCCGAACCATTTAAGAACCATAATGCAAACATAAGGTGCCTACAATTCCAATATCGGACCGAATATTACCAAATTGACATACAATGACTTTCAATTTTACTTTAACGCTATATGTATACTTTATTGAGGTTTCAGACAAATATTTCGAGGTTTATCAAATGGAATGACAAAATTCGGCCTTATGCGGCCAAATCGGCCAAATATAACAACTAATGCATTCTTTGTTTTTTATTAATATTTAAATCACATTAACCCCCCGTTACTCAGTTTATAATTACAACAAAATAATACTAACCCATTATTACCTACCACTTTCCATTGCCGATAATTCATCAGCTAATCTTGTTTTTGCAGCATTAAACGGATGTCACTGGTGGTGTGCACAGCTAATGTCCGATGTATTTACTCATCTGTATACCAGCGCCAACAACACCAACAACATAACCTCATCTGACACCGACCAGAAGCAAACAAAAACAAAACAGCAACGGAACTGATGAGCTACTGCCCTTTGAACTCCAACACACGGTTTCTGGGGAGCAAAGTATAACGAGCTAGGTTGCAGATCTTACACCTTAGATTAGACAGCTACATGACATTTTATTAAATTGGAAGGTGCGAATGAGGGAGATAGAATGGATGAAGAAATCGCAGCTGTATTAAGTTATGATAAAATGTATAATAAAACCACAAAACCATAAGAACCCATTTTAAAGTAGAAAAACAAACATTAAATTAAATGAAAAACACTATCTATGTATGTGTGATCTATCAGCCACATCTAGATTAAAAGTATCTAAAAGTAGGCTTTGTTTGAATTTGACCTAAAAGTATGCATCTAATTAAAATAAAACAGTAACAAAAGATTCGATTTATTCTTTGATAAACCAACATGTGTGTAAACACATACATATGTACGCATGCTTTAAAAGGATTCTGAGAATATTTACAAAGAAGTGATTTCTTTTACTTTTCATAGAAATCTACAAAGCAAAGCCTTAATGTATACAACAATTTTTTTTTTAATAAGCAATTTTTCTATTTCATTGGCTTTAATTAGTTTAAAATTTATGGCAAAAATAAAAAAACACACACACACAAAATCTACATATCTTTAATATATCCCAAATAAATTTGAATAGATTTTCACCTTCGCATAAACGATATACGTACACATACAGTGGAATGTGGCTACAGCAAACACTGGTTTGTAGAAAATCATTGTTAATCTTAAATGCAGAACTATTTGACGTATTTTGATATTAAAATATAATGTCTTTAATTCATTTTCTATTTATTATTGTTATTATTTATTTATTTTAATGTAATGGTGATGATAGTGTTAATATTCCTTGCACATACTCACAATGTTCAGTTAAATAAAACACCAAGTTTTTTCTAAAAATTTTGTTTACATACTGAAATGTGATCTGTCATCGCCCAGCGATATTGTGTTAGTATTACAATTTTATGTTGTCACGTATGCGTTTATTCACAAACGATCAATGAAATTCAGAACATGTTTCCATAAGCTACCGAAGATACATGTTAAATATATTGGTAACAATTGACTAAATTTTACCCTACACAAAATCGTTCAATAAATATTTCACGACAGAAATGTGTATCAAGTAACGAGAAATACATCGTTAAGATCGACTGGGCCGAACTTTGTATACCCTCGTCAATTAACTATTTATAAATACCTAATATTTGCCCGAACGCAAATATGGCATATATGTCAAAATCATGGATCTATATTGTAAATAGTCTACCAGGTGGGTTTTCACCGCCGTAGAAAACGAAATTCCAAAGTTAAAGACACTTGGTTTAAAAAATCGACAAGGACCTTCAATATACTTAAAATTGTGTTTAATCACTATATGTCTGCGAACTGAAATATTTTCCTCTGAATGCCTACTTAGAAAATAAAAATAGAAAGGGGGGCTCGACCTTCATTTCAAAATGAACTAAACAAATCTATTATACAAATATCGATCTCTATTGTGATTTCAAGAGAGAGAAGTGACATTTTACTGTGATCAAGAATCCCCAATTTTGTGTCCCGTTAAATTTTAATAGATTTGGAAAATGTTCTCTCAATTCTTGGGTTTCCTTTAATTCGTTTCATTTTATTTTTCTAAAAAAATATGTGATATGTTAATCTTCTTTGCAAATGTACATATGTATATAGATATTTAGGTAATAAAAAGTACTCCCAAGAGATATAAATAAAAATCGTAGCGCTATAGCTATACAAACATAAAAATCAAACAAAAAGACAATCAGTTGCATAAAAGCCTATTGCCACCCAATCACACACACGCACACATGCATATTCCAAGCAAATAATAAAAAAAGCCTTTTAGTATGTTCCCAGTAAACAATTTTTTCCGACTGCTCTGATTTTAGATTTTTTTCCGAAATTTCTGACGTTTTTTTCAGAAATTTCTGATAGAAATTGGTCCGATTTTCTAAACGTTTTTTTTTTAGAATTTCTGCACATTTTCCTGTGTTTTTAAGCGAAAAAAACTCGAAAAATGTACAAACGGAGAGAGTAGATTGTGTATTGCTCTGGCATATTCTCTCCCACATGTAAACGGATGGTGGTGGTTTGACACATTCTCTCCCATAGTAGTTGTTGTTGTGATCATTCATTTCAAGATCTCAACAACAACAAAGCGCAAAGCAAAAATGCTATTTGTTATTGTTATTGTGAACTGTTAGATTTTCCGTTGTAAAAATGTGCGTTTTGTTGTTGTTGTGAATCAGCCTCTTTCTCTTTCGTTCCCAAAAAAATATGATGGAAAAAAATTGCAAAAACAACTACATACCGGTTTTCTGTGTGCACTGCTTTTTATTTTTAGTTCTTGTTTAGCAGTTGAAAGAGAAACGTGCTTCGGTATAGTTGAATTAAAGTGTTTACAAGAAGTGTTCAAAAAGTGAATTAAAAATTTCCAGAAGGTGTTTAAAATTAAAAAACAAACAAAATTGTTTATTACAGGTAAGAAAAAATTATAAAAATGTCACGCCGATCTATCAAAAGAAATGCAAAAAAACAGGCTCAAGAATTACTTTGCAAATTATTGAGTGAACCTCATAACGAACCATTAGGTGCCAAAGCAAGTATTCCTGGTAGCGACTCCCGAGGAAAATTCCAAAATATACACCCACTTCACAACTGAGTTCTTTCAGTTAAAAATGACTGTAGAAAACGCCATGAAAGCAGTACAAATGAAAGGATCAGTATTTTCCGTTGAACAACTATGCTCCCCTGAAGAAGTATTAGACTTCGAAAGAAGACTGAAGGATAATTGCGAACTGAAAAACAAACTGGTAAGTTTCTAACCCACATTTCTTTAATAGGTATGTACTCAAATCAATATTTATCTACAGATTCAACGTATAAAAGCACAACCCCATGACGATATAAGGAAATTTGTTCAAGAAAATCTAAAACTAGTTTTCCAGACGGACGAAATTATCACACGATTTTCATGGAATAGTGCCAACAGAAATATACCTGTAAAAGATATGCATTACATCAAGCTTATAAGAGGTTTGTATTCGCTATTTAAGATTATGGATAAGTTAGATTACATGTACATATGTATGTACTTTAATTGTTATATAGATACAGCAATAGATCATATCCCGGGCACTGCTGCAAGTACGATAGAATTTCATATTAAGAATTTCTTTAATTCGGCTAAAGACCGCCAAAACAAACGAAAAAGAAAAGCAGAATCGAAAAAATCTCAATCGGACAAATCTGAATCGGAAAAATCTGAATCGTAAAAAATTTAAATAGTCCTGTGTATTATATTGTTTTTATTATACAGGGACTCAAAAAATTAATTGTACACTTCTAATATTTGAAAATAAACTCCAAAAAAATACTAGGGGTGTACGGATTTTTTTTTTGGTCACTGTACACGACACAAATTATTGAAAGACTGAATTAATTTTATTTTTATTTTAAAAAGATACATTGAATTACAAAAATTATATATGTATATAATAACAACAAATAATTGAATTATCTGTTATCTGTTCAACTAATAAATATAAATAATATAAATAATAATAAATTGTTTGTTTTTTAAATAAATATGTGTTTTTTTCATTTTTAAGTGGTGTGACGATTTTTTCGATATTTCTTCCGAATTCTGAACGATTTCTTTCAGAAAATCGGAACTTTCTCCCGAATTCTGAGCGTTTTTTTTCAGAAAATCTGATTTTTATTCCGAATTTTCTTTCGAATTCTGCCCGATTTCTTTCAGAAATTCGGAGTTGTCCTCCGAATCTTTTCCGAAAATCTAATTTTTTCTCCTATTTTTTCACCGAATTCGGACCGAATTCGTTCAGAAAATCTAATATTTTTTCAGATTTTTTTCAGAAAATCTTTCCGAATTCGGTGACCACGTCCATACAACTTTCGTACCGAAATCGGAAGGAATTCGGAATCAGAATCGGACATTTTTTCAGAGATTCTGACAGAAATCGGACCGAATTCGGCAAAAATTGTTTACTGGGTTGTTAAAACACCCGAACACTTTGGCATCTGTACGTGAATGATGATATGTATATGTGTGAGTCTGTGTGTGTATGTGTTTTTGGCCAATGTGCATATAAATGACAAATAAAAACAATATTTTCTCATGAAAATTCAATTAAGCTGCTTGAAATGTTGTTAACACCTTAAATCTGTCCCTGTCTCACTCGTTCTTTGACGCTTTTTCATTTCACTCTCTCGCTCCCTCCCTCCCTCCATCCAAATGGCAAAACAAAAGTAACAACATTGGCCACATCACGAGCCCATATAAAATCCAGACTTACAAACATGCCAGGGTGCTGCTACGTGCACAAATGCCAATCATTACCATTTGTAATTTATTTAAGTATGCAGTTTCAGTGTGTGTGTACATGAGTGTGTCTGTGTGTTAGTGTTTCTACGATAATGATATTGTCCCACCTTTCCATCCGTTGTGTCAGGTGCTGCCGAGAGCAAATGTGTGATAATGTTGCCAAAACATATTGAATTTAAATCCTTTCTGTCACTACTGCACTCTTAACTGCAATTTCATGAACTAGATTGTCACGGATGTTTGTTCGGAATCTATGCCACCATGATGCCACCAGGTGTTCATTCTGTTTGCCACTTTGCATTGCCCCTTCTCTTTGCTACTTGTCGCTGTTCTTAAGTGTAGACCCCGTTTTCCCTGTTATGGCAAGATAATACTTTCAATTATATTTTTGGGTGCCTCGGCGGTGGGTTTTGTGTGCGCCAGCGAGAGTGTGTGTGTTCGGTAGAATTTTCACACAATTTCACCACATTGCCAATATTTTTTAGCTGTTTTGCGGATTTGCACATGTAATGAACCTTGGCATCCAACATATTTACAGCTGGTGTAGTTTTTGTTTTTTTTTTAGAAATAGTGATGCTTGTTCGGGTAATGATTTTTCAACCAAGATTTAAGTGGAAAATCGACCAAAAATTTAAATCAGAATTGGACATATGTAGAATTTTTTAATTAGGTCCATATGCTGAGGTTCTCCAAGGTGACAAACATTTTGTTCCGACTTGCACGATGGGGTTTCCTCCAAAAATGGAATCAAAAGATTATGGAAAGACCGGTTCACTTTTGCAGCATGTAATGGCCAATAATTTCATTTCCAGATATTCCAGTCTCTCTAAAAATATATTTTCTTCTATCTACAAAAATCACAATCAATTTTCGATTTATATTTTTATTCGTTTATATTTGTTTTATTCAACCTACATAACTATTGTCTTATATTAACGAGATTCGTTTAACTTAACTATCAAAGAAAATTATAATGAAAATAAAATACTGGTAATTCTGTGTCTCTAAACAACAATAAAACAACATTGAACTTTAAGCATTGTTGACCGATGGCTGTTACCAATTTTGAACGTAATTGACCAAAAGTGAATCATCCACACTGCTGGGTACAATTTCCACAGACTGGACAATTGGCTGCAGATGTAAATCACTGTCAACATCGGCATAGACACCACCATCCTCGATAATTTCAGTATCGGCTGTATCGACCAAAACATAATCCGATTCACTTTCGCTCAAAACAATTGCCTCCAATTTGGAATTCTTAACCTCTTTGGGTTGTTCATCCATCACTACCACAACAGGGGTGCTTTCGACCTTCTCTTCAGTGTTGCTGGAATCCTTTTTGGTGTCTTCATAGAGAGTGTCATTGATGGGAAATAATTTTGTTGTAGGTACAGCAGTTGTAACTTCGGGTACTTCTTCGTTTTGTTCTTTTTCAGCGTCTTCTTTAGTTTCTGGAGCCAAAGTAGTCACCTCTTCGTCTAAACTCTCATCGACGGTTGTGGTTTCAACAGTGGTGGCATCTGTGCTATTTTCTGAGGTATCCAATTCTTCAGATTCTTCGAAATTCTCTTCCGGCAATTTGGGTTTCTCCACCAATTTCGGAGTACTCAACAGCAACAATTTACCGAATTTCTCCTCTTGCACTGAATGTTCAGGAGTTTGTTTTGATTCCGAGGGTGACGAATCCATTAGAGTTTGATCCACAATTAGAATTGTAGCTTCCTCATCTCGCGTCAAAGCCCCCAATGATTCGGGCGAAGTGGTTGTCATCTCCTCCTCCATCTCCTTGATGTCATCAGTTAGAGATGCTTGAGTCGTTACATCCATTTGCTCCGTAATCGTATCCATTGTTGTCGCCTCCATCTTATCCTTCATTTCCTCCTCTGAACCATTGCGTATAACAGCAGCCTTTGCTGTGCCAGCTATGAGGCACACAGCCAGGAAGACAAAAACTTTCGGGCAAACCATTTTGTCAGATTTTCCTTTGAGATGTTAAAATTGTTGAGAATATTTTGAAACTAATTTGAAAACTGCCCGTCAACTGGGTTATATACTCGTAATCGGATATTCAGCCGAAACGAGTGACAAACCCCATTTTAGAACATTCTACGGATTGATGGGAATCACCGAGCAAATGGCTTCTTGCCAATTGTTTCATTGGGTGACCTCGAATGTGGCCAAAGTTGTGGTGCCAGATTTGTTTTGCTTTATTTGTTTGTTGTGTTCATGCGGAAGCCGGAAATGTAAGTAAAGTGAGCGATGACTGGATGATTCACTGCCTCACTTTACTTGTTTATTATTAATTAAAGTTTAATTAAATATGGTCATAAACAAAATCACCTACCGACCAGAAAAGTCCAAGCAAAGTTCATTACACGTCTTCAATAAAAACAAAAATACACGGCACAGTCAGATGGGCACGAGTGACTCAAAATGGCAGTCCGTCCCCAGGTTTATGTTTGTCTATTTCTCACTCTCTTCCCATACCCCCTCTATGGGTTGGGGGCGACATGCCGGTGTTGTGTTTGTCCACCTTTGATTCAGGCACGTTTTCATGGAACGAACCAACGACCAACTGACTGACTGGCTGACTTTGTATGCCAGGCACGTCAAAACATGTTGCCAACTGACAATTTAATATTAGAAGTATTTAATTTTTGTTTTCATGCCATGCGATTTATTTACAAGCATTTCATCTAAACTCTCCCCGAATCCCTTGTTCTTTGTTCCTAGTGATGATTGGAGTCTCAAAGTGTTGAGGGTACACTTTTCCATTTCATTTACGACATTCGTGTGGCAACTTCTTGATGTGGCGCCCCATCTATTGCGAGTCTGGTGGTTTCTGCACCCGGACAACCAACGATATACAGTTAGCGAATCTCCAGCCGTCACCTATCCAACAAATGCATGTGTGTGGTGTATTTCTATTTAGCAAACATATAGAACCACATCAACCCAGCTTGACAGTCTGGAACGACGACGCGATAAAGAACCAAACCATCAGCATTCATCAGCTGGAGCGAAACTTCAAAATCATTGAGTTTAGTATTTGGAAAACGGGGATATTTCTCCAACCCCAACAGGACCAACGGTCCTTGTAAATGTTTTCGCATACGGCGTTTGTTGGTGCTCTCTGGCATTCAACTCATTGAGAATTCGAATTAATGCCAGTTGACCGATTTGCTTTTATGCAACATTGGTCTCGTTTGATCTATGCATATACAAATGGTATCCTTTTAGACTACGATGTCCTTGTTCTTGGTTTGGCGTTATTGTGTGTGTTCTGCAATACACTCAGTTAAAAATATAGAAACATTTTATATTTTTAGACAATAGTATTGTCATTAGTTCTACAAGAAGAATCAGGCATTTAAGAATATTGTCAGAGGCGTTGCTTACTTCACAAATATTTGTATTTGAGACACATCCACAGACGTGGTTTAGTGCTTTGACGTGGACATAGTGCTTTAAGTCCCGCCCATAGGCGTGGCTTATTATTTAAAAAATCCTCATGGAAGTGGCCTAATATCTTAGTCCCGCCCATAAGCGTGGATTATTCCCCAATTATGTTTTAAGCCCCGCCCATAGGCGTGGCCTATTACCTAAGCTCCGCCCATAGGCGTGGCTTATTCCCCAATTATGTTTTAAGCCCCGCCCATAGGCGTGGCCTATTACCTAAGCTCCGCCCAAGAGCGCCCATAGATATAGCCTAGAACCAAACTCCGCCCATAGGCGACGCATAATACTTAATCTCATACAGACGTGGCTTATTTCCCTATTATGTTGTAATCCCGCCCATATGCGTGGCCTAATTCTTAAGTTCCGTTCATAGACGTGGCTTATATCCCAATTATGCTTTAAACTCCGCCAATGGGCGTGGCTTTTTCCAATTATAAAAGCAAAAGCCGATCAATTAAAAAATCGCACTACGGCCCGTTTGTGGCCTAAAAGTATGCAATACTTGTCTTCACAAACCAGCAGCCATAGCGAAAAATTTCAGTTTTTAAAAGATCGATTTTTGTGTGGTTTTTCATTTTTCGGTAATAGGCGCCCAGCACCGAACAGAAAGTATGTTTCGGAACATCGCTGAATTCAAATGCGAATAACAACTCAGCGAATACTTAACCGATTTTTAAAAATTTTGCAAAAATGGATTGAGGGAGATCTGAAGTTTTAATACACATTGGCAATACAGACATAATCTTATGTTATGTAAGAGAAAATTAGCATTATGTGAAAGTTGAAAAATATGTAAAATCTGGACGAAATGTAAACAAAGTTACATAAAAAACTGATCAATGAAACAGTCCATGACTTGACATATAACTGATGTTGTTTCTAAAAGGGAAAACAACATATTTTTTCTAAACAAAAAATAATATGGTATTAAAAAATGGAAGATTTATCAATACAATTCAGATGCAAATAAATGTGACATGATTTTGGGGCGGAAAAATTGTAAAGCTCCGCCGATTACAAGGCTGTGTGTCTATATCTTATTGTAGTTTACATGTTTTTTTCTCAAGATACTCTTCCATGCTTATTGTTCGGGCATAACATATCTAAAGCTTATCCAGATGATACTCTTTATCTCTTCTACTTTAATTCAATACGTTATTTGTCATTTTTCTTCGAGTTTAATGCCTGACTCTAATATTCATTCATAGAATTATTCTACCTTCAGTGCATGCAACGAAGTTTAGAGTTGTCTATGCATTCATGCGTTAAACTTGCACCATGACTTCAATTTCTTGTTGCTGTTTTCTTTTTTTTTCATTTTTCACTCGTTTTGTTAAATACGTACTAGTTGGACGATAGCATTTCTCTCGCATGCATGCTGTTAACCTTCGGTCTGTATGCCGTCTGTCCAATGGCATACATATATATTCAACTACTGCAGATAGCCAACACCAATCTCTGGGTATTTATGTGTGTTCGGGTGTGTGTGTGTTTGTCTAATTCGAGTATAACTCAAGTAAAAGGCATTAGTTTCGATTTTTCATTTAAATTAGAATACTGTTTGCTATGACTTATTCTACAAGGGAAAAAAACCAAGGCAACTGCTTGCAAAAAGAAGAAGGAAAAAGAGGAAACACACACACACACACATGTTTACAGAACCTTAAACGTCATCCTTTGCCATGCTAGACTGAGGTGTAATGGAGCATAACATCGTCGTCATCATCATCATCATCATCGTCGAGTTTTCAGAAAGATTAATGAAATTTCAGTTGTGGTTGGTTGCTTGACTGGATGGATGGCTGACTGGGTAGATGGTTGGTGTGTAGATGGTTGGCAAACAATTTCTCTCCTTCAAATATTGCAGGTCTTGTAAATACTGTCAATGTTCAGATGTACCAACACAGTTCTAAATCGTACGAGTATATGTTTATAATGTGTGTGTGTGTTGTAAAATCACACTCATACCCATAATTTCACATAAAGACTTTACAACTAAATGCAATTTAGAGAATTCCGTGGTAAATGTTATCCAGTTTGAGAGTTCTTAATGCACTTTCATACATTCGGTACACATTTACACACATATATGTATGTGTGCGTCTGTAATTGTACTTACTGTGATTAAAATTCGCATTCCAGGTAGCAATATTGATTGTGATTTGAAGGGAATTGTTGAAAGAATATTCCAAGCATTTTGCATGTCGTTCATCGAACATCGGAACAAATATGCTCGAGTAAAGCCACAGTTGCCAAACCAAATAGACTATAATATGGCATTTCTGGTACTTCGTAGATAAAATATCTCTTCGTAAGAAATGTATTAGTGGTCTATTCTTCTTATTCTTACCGATAATTAAATCTTTACCCTGTAGACGTACCCTGTATTGTATTGAATAATATTTTAAATGTTTTCAAATAAATGTAATTGAAATAATTTCATTTTAATTACTCAGTTATGGCTGAAACAAAATGTGATGGTTTTCCCTACTCTATACAAACCTTATCCCAAATCGTGTTCCCTTTACCAGCTGAAAAATATTATTGAAATATATTTCCTTTGAAAATAAAACACATTTTTTCTTTTGATTTCCATTAAATTGTGTTTTTATTGTTTTTTTTCCAATATTAATTTTTTTTCTTCTGATTTCTTAGTCCTTTGTATTGCACAGTAGTTTTGGTATTTGTTGTTTTTTTCAATAAATTAAAAAGAGAATTTTACTATATGTATTCGATATTCTTCATGGGACATTTGGCTAAAGTATAGAAAATAAATCTTTATATAGAGATTTTTGAATACCTTGGCCAATAAAATATATATATTTTGGAAAATCTACTACTTAAAAATACAGAAAAAGAAAAACAAAAACAACTATTGTGACTTAATTTGAATCTTATAAACAATACAACAAAAAAAAAAAAACAAAAAAAAATAATCCTATATTCGATTCTTATGTATGTCTATCATAATTAAAGGTGATCTACAATTATACATGTGTTTCAATTTCTGCTGATTTACTTAAATAAGTTATAGCATATGTATGTGTATATATATGTTTAAATGTGTTCTTTAGCAAATGTCTATATTAGATTATTATTATTTTATTTTCGTTTTTTTTGTTTGTATAATTATAAAATATTTGAAAGAGGCTTTGTTTTTTTTCTGTAGAATAAAAAAGTATTGAATTTTCTTCCATTTTCTTTTGTTCCTTTTGATATAGTTGGGTTTTTGTGTGTGTGTGTGTGTTTTTTTCAGTTTTTCCATTAGAGAGAGAATATATAGAGTACTTAGTATAATATCAAGTATATGTGTTTGTATGTATTTACGAATATATGTATTGTTTGTAATATTGTTTGTCCATGTTTATTCTTTTATATATATATATATATATATATATAAGTATGCATTTATGTATGTTTGTATATCTATAATTATATAAATGTTCGGTGTATATGTGTATGTGTATATGTCTATTTATATAGGTAATGCAAATTTCTGTGGATATGCTAAAATTCGTATTTATTTGTAGTTCTCAAAAAACAAACGTTTATTTATTTAAGAGCAAGAAGTAACATGTACAAATAAAAAATACGAGAATATATGATCAAATCTAATGAAATTTTATTAAACGAAAATAATAATTAACAATTGTTAATTAATTATTTAACAATTGTCTTTGGAAAAACTCAATTGTGTACCGCTTGTACGAAACGATATTGAATTTCGACAACAACATAGGATCACAAGGAGTTATATTCGAACTCTGATATACAGAATTCTTACAAATTGTGACAAATATCACCTTACCTACACAAATGTCCTCGTGTGTCATATATGTTTATATGTAGGTGGAATGATATTTTACAGAAAATATTTCAGTCCGTTGTTCTTTTCGTTGTTGTTGTTGAAGAAAACTAACACAGATTATTTGTATGTCTAGCTCTCTGTCCATCTGCCAGTTTGTCAGTTTATCTGTGCTGTTTGTTGTGTGCAGTGATTTACTGTTTGCTTTGCAACCATAAAGTGTGCCTTTCCCAAAACATTGGCCAACAGTTCAATGAACAACAACAAATGTCACATACAACAAATACAGCCACCACACACACACACACACTCGCATACACTTGCAGATCGAAACAGACAATAACAACCACAATAAAAAATATTAAAAATTAATTAAATATTATGCAAATATTTTCCATAAATATTAATTAAATTGAGTGTATGTGCATGTGTGTGGGTGTGTGTGAGCAACTGTTTACATGTGCACAAAATTTATGTAAACAATATTTGTAATACATACTTACTGTATGTGTGTATGATCAATGAAATTGTTTATTAGCGTTCTAGAATCCCGGGAAATGAATAAACAATAATAATAATATGTAGATATAAAAAACATTGGATTGGAAAATATATCAATTGAAAAATTCCATTTGTATTTAACGATATGTTCGGAAAGCAGTTTTACATGTTTCCATATATTCTGTTCGGTGAATGTGTGTGTATGTGTTTGTTTTTCTTTTTTAATTTTGAAAAGGAAGCTCCATTAATTGTTTCAAGTGTATTTTCTTTCACATTTCAGTTGAGAAGAAAGTAGGGAAATTTTACATTGAATTTCTACTTAATTAAGTTTAATTGATTTCTAAATTGATTTATACGTTTTTTTCCACTAAATTTCCATTCGATTGATATTTAAGTATGAAATTACAAAAAAATTAGATTCGCTTTTCTTTGTTTCGGATGTCATATTCTTGAGTGGGGGTTTTCAACTATTTTACCTTTTTTCTCCTATTATTTAGACTTTATTGCATTCGTTTCGTTTTTTTAGACAATATTGTGGACCTTGGCCGACAGACAGTTGTGTAGAACAAATACGACGGGTTTGGGACAGCATTCCATATCCAGTTCCTTAAAGGAAAAAAGTTGCAATTAAGAATAAGAAACAAATAAGCAAATCAATTCATACAAATATTTTATAACCAAAATATTGTTCTCTTATTTATACAAATTTAATTTCTTTCTCATTAATGCTACTTACAATTTCACCATCATCGCCAAAATCCAAAAACAGCATCCGGTTGCCATCATCTGCCGAACCGCGTAATTTATCAAAAGGAAATTGCCATAATTGGGTTTTCGTTTGAGCTGGTGCCGCATAGCCGCATTCGTACAGACAAAAGCCACGATTTAGGTGCACAACCAATTGACACTGCCTGCCCTGGTACAGGCAACGAAATGAGAACTCTCGCTGATAGTTGACCGCATTATGGGAACCTTGAACTAAGGCTCTGGCCCAGGCCGCCATATCACGATGGGTCTCCGAACGCAACCAATAGACCAGAACACCACGTGTTGTACCGCATCTAATGCAGAATACTGTCGATTGCTGTCCCTGGAGAAGAATCAACCCCAACAACAAGTAAAGCAAACGAAAACAAAAAATGAGAAAAGTGAAAAAAAAGCAACGAGAAATTTGTAGTTCGCGAATGTTGAAGGTTGTTGTTATTGTTTTACTTACATTCAAAGAAGAATTATTGCCGGCACCTGCTAATCTCGTTGTGGCCAATGCAAAACTTTCTAAAGGCCGACCCCATGCTTCCACCGACCACGGTGCACTTTCGTATATCCTAAAGCATTTCGGCGCCATGGAGAGTATGAGCAAAAGGGGGCAGCGGAGGAAGCAGACATAAAATAAACAACAACAGAAAATTTATATTAAAACAAAAACTGGATACCATTGAATGCATGAATGAATGAGTGAATGGGAAATAAGGTTACACATAAATTACATTTTGTGAAAACAAAAGTTGTGATAGCATGACCAACAACAACAGCAACAACAAAAAATAACCCAGAAACGCCAAGTACAGGATTTTCTTACAAAACGTCGGTAGTATTCATTAATGCAGACATTTTCTCATGTTACAAACAGACAAAACATTAAAAATTTTAACAGCATTGTCCATTTCGTATATAAATTTTATGAAATAAATTCTAAAGATTTATGTACAAACAACAAATTTAAAGGAAGATGACAGAAAAATAAATAATATTTGAGCTAAGTAGTAAGTAGTTCGTTTTTATGAAGATTTTTTCCGCATTTTTGTTATTTAGTTGTACAAAAAATTGACTAAATAATATAACATTGTCTCCCACTCTCCCCCACAATGTTTTCAATACAAATAACAGAGAAAAAGTTCAAAATAATATTCATTAATCTTTTACAGATTCATTTCATTGGATTTTTGGCCTTTGGCTTTATATCATTCTCTATGACAAAGTAATTGTCAAGTTCTTTATCTTTTTCGCATTTTTTTCTTGTTTCTTGATACATTTCTTTGTTGTTTTGCTTTCAGAGCGTGTTATTAATAACTAAGGCCTTAGTTGTTCTCATTGCTCATTTGATTTACTTGAGACGTTTTGTCAAGGCAACTGTTGTTGTTCTTGTTTTTTTTTTTCTTTTTGTAGTTATTCCACTCCACGAGAGCTCATCAATCAATGACAAATTAGCTCCTTATTTCCCTAAACACAAAACAAAAGATTTGTGTCATGCATACCATGGGCTAGGGTATGGACCCCACACCAACACTGAAAGGAAGAACATGATTATTTGAGCTTATTTCTTTGTAGTAGTTGTTTTATATTCAAGGATTTGTTGTTGTTTTTTTTGTATTTATTTCAATTTCTTTGTTATTTTGCATTAAACGATAACAACACATTTCTTTCGTTATGCCATTGTTTTGTATATTGTTGATTATCACCCTATCACTCTCTCTTGCTCTTTTTACTACTCTTTTGAATGTCTCCCCTCCTTTCAATGTTGGAGTGCTGACATTTTTCACAACACTCAGCAAAATCTCAACGGGAAATGCAGTATTTTTCAGGTTTTTTATTTCCGTTATTTGCTTTATTTCCGTTTATTTGCTCTGACGGGGAGTGAGAGTCAGAAAATTCCCCACAGAGAATATGTGTGAGTGTGATCTTTTATCTTGTTTTATATTCAAAGTTATTGATGACTCTATGTATGGGACGGGGGTGTGGCTGTGTGTATGTGTGTACGTTGGGAGCTATGAATAAATCTATGCCCATTTAAAGTTCTTGTCATATTGATGTGGTTTATGAGAATTCTAGCCAATATTCATGTGAGCTCATATGTATATGTGTGTGCATGTGTGGGTATAGAGTAGAATCTTTTTTGACACATGTCGTTTATTTACTGTTTGTATTGTCTTTTTTTCCTTCATATTTTTTACTCTTCTCATGCTCTCTTGTCATCTGCATATCGACAATGGGCAATAACTAAGAATTGTAATATTCAAAAGTGAACAGAAAAAAATTGAAAACAGCAAAATAACAATTTCCTGCAATTTGACTTTTCAGCAAGAAGTTTGTTTAGAAGCATTCAAGTCCACGCATGTGTAGGACACACATTTACACAATGTGGCAAATGTGGTAGAGGAGTAAATCTACAATTTGTGGGTAAATATTTTAATTGAGAGTTACAGTTTCATGTGTGCAGTGATTTTTATGAGATATGTTAGTAAATTTGTATATTAAAAATTACTTGAGCCAAATATCGAATTTTATCTTATTTGCGGATATTTTTGCCTGGGAGTACGTGTTGTAAAATAATGTGGACGACGGAGGACTGTTCATTTTAATATAATCAGAATTTAATTTTAAGATCTTAATATTTAGCAATTGTTAAAATTATTCATAATTGCTTGCTTCTTTCGCAATAAACCCTTTTTTCTTGAACTTTTCAATACACCCTCCGTTATTATCATCAATATGTGCATTGTGTATTGCTGAATACAAAATACAGATTTACCATTGCTAACGAAGAACATTTGACATATTGTCTGTTACATGGAAAAATATACAACAATCTCAAATAATAATAAGACTCATGCATTTATATGAGTCAAGAACAAGTACATGCACGCATATAAACACACACACACAAATATCTTCTATCTTCCGGCAAAAATTCAAGCAGATGAACATCTGGACATATTTCTTCGTCTGACTTTGTTATCGGCAGTCACTGCAGCACAAAAAAAAAAATCCAATAAAATATTTTTTGTATGGTGATAAACATGGTCTCACACACATACACAGCAAAATAGTTTTCACTTGTTATCTGAGATTTGTCAACAACAGGAATTTCATTTGCCAACCCTCATTGTCAAGAGGTTAAATAACTTTTTCCACACAACAATGCCGACTGTTGGCAGGAACTTTTAATTTAATATCGAGCAAAAGGCCAATGTGTTAATGTTGACAAGGAAATGTGCAAATGTGGAGACATTTTTCTTGCTGTCGAATCGGAAAATCGTTGAGGGCTAAAGAGTAAACCACCACAATTATTTGGTCAAAAGTTCAGATTTTCCATAGAGGAGCAAATAAATTGGAAAGTAATTTCAGGCAATAAATAAACAAATAATAATGTAACTCATGCGCCAAAGTGTCCGAGAGTGTGTGCGTATGTGTACTGTTGGCGTCGGATCATACGCACCCCTGGATTTAATTTGGTTTAACAACAAATTCAGTTTAATAGATAGTTCTTTAATTATTCGCTAAGCAGTGTGTGTTGTTGGTCATTTTTAATTTTCCTTTCTCTCTGTCTCTCTAAAAATCCCAAAAACCCTTTTAATAAAAGAAATTATGACAAAGTACAACCTAAAACAAGATGAATAATGAGATGTAACATAAGAAGAACATACCTTAACTCACGTTCGGTTACAGCCACAAATATGGGTTGCCATTTATCATTTTCATCAGAACTTTCTGAACTAGAACGACCACTTGGCTGCAAACGAGAAAACAAAAAGAAAAAGGGGAAAAATAGAAAAATTGCATACAAAGTAAAAAGAAAACGGCCGAAATGGGGTACCATGAAACGAAAGACATGGCAATGTGCAATTGAACTTAAAACCAAAAGAACGTGGGGGAAATCGTACAAATGAAATGGAACATAATGGGCATAAGGATGCCATAAACTGTTGGTCTCCTCTTTGTCTTTTTCAAAGAGAATCCTTCGCCATGCTGTTGAAAGTGATATTAGAGGAGTTCGTTTTGGCGACTCAAAGTGCAAATTGAAAAGAAACAAGAAGTCCATTAAGATAAAACTTACCACTTCACCACCACTGCCGGCACTTGTTGTGGTACCTGTCATGGCATTATTGCCGCCACCCAGGCCACCACCACTTGCATTGCTGGCCCCACTGCTGCCACTTAGGCGTCTGCTCAGCCAGCCAATATGTTTGAGTTCGCCGATGACATTCATTAAAGCTCGATTGGCTTCCACTAAAGCACGTTGAGTCGAGCCACTCATGGCACTGTGCAAGGCATTAAACCACACCAAAGCCTCGGCCGAATCGGCAGCGCGCAATATGCACGAATGTACACCATCCGGTGAATGTAATTCCAAGCAGCGATTTTCTGAAACGAGACATCCACCACCACATCAACAGGCATCATTAAACATAGACAGACATACATACAAATTTGGTCTTAATTTCTATGAAATTATTTTCAAATAAATATCAAGTGACACATGTTTGCAACACTTCAAAATTCCCACCACCCTCACTTCACAATTTCCCCCATCAAACACTAAAAGTCTCCTTGTGGAATCATTTTAGTGAAAATTATTTTTTAATCATCGTCGTGCCGTCAGCTTCGTGCTTTTGCGAAAAATACACCAATAATACGACGGCACAAGCAGCAGCAAGTCATTAAAATTTTAAGTTGCTATAACTTGAAGTAGCTTCGTTCGGTTCATGGGTACAGCTTTGGATCCACTGCCGTTGCTGATGCTGGCATTTTACATAAAAAATAAGCCCCAGATGTTTCTCTCGAGTGGCAACGTATTTTCCAGCCAAATTACAGGGCAGGCTATACTACAATCGAGAAGCAAACGAAGCAAACTTTCAATTTTCCTCTACTTGCCGGTTTTCAAAATGTTGTTATTTTGCTGTAGTTTATGTTTCTCATGATTACGTTGTTGTTGTTGCTATTTCTGCCTTAATGATGTTGCTTAGACATTTGTTGTTGTTGTTGTTGCTGTCTTCTATTTAATGCAACAGCTTTAGATACACATCCATGCCATACAGAAGTCGCACACACATACATATATTATGTGTGTAGGTGTGTTTGAATTGTGACAGTGTTAAACATTTTCTATGAAGGTTCTACTTTATAAAATTAAATAATTAAATTATAAGAGAAACAAATACATCTTCCCCAGGAGATTTTCATAGGGAGTGGAAAGAAAACTTGTAGAGAAGGCAAATATAGATAAAACCGTGTATTCTTCTTTCTGAATAAAAATCTGTACATAGTGCTTCAAGACTAATTCTGACATGACAAATGTGATTTTTTGGGACTTTCCAATTAACCAGCTATTTTCCAAATTCGAATCGATATATTTCCCCCTTCATATATATATATATATATATATATTGCATATAAATAAATTGTTCCCTCAATTCCATTATATATGTACGTTTTAAAATACGATTTTCGTAAGAACGCCAAATGGCTTATAGGACAATTATGTACACAGTCGCAGATATGTATATGAAGCCGTCATCATTAATTAAGGACTACTTTTTGTGCACATATTCATCATCGGTCGTAGTCATCAGCACCACCACCACAACAAACCAAATAAATTACTTGACAAAACGAAAACTTTTGATAGAATTTTTATGCATTTCGGGTTTTTGTTCGGCAACAATCAAGACACATTTTATGGTCATTTGGCTGAAAATGTTGAGAAACTTTTAAGTCTCTCTCTTTCGGCACTGTTGCGTACAAAAACACAGAAGATTTCACACTTAACGCTTGTCGATGCCAGCAAGTAAAGGGAGGGGGAGGGAAAGAAATTCTACGGTAGTGTGGGAGTGTATGTATATTTACAGACTTTGGGAATTAATTAAGTTTTCTTGTTGTTTGGGGAATATTTTATCATCCTGGTAGACAAACAGTCACACACACGTGCACACCGACCCACCCACACACTCACATTTTCAACAACAAATAGCAAATAAAGCATTAAATGCAGCATAATTTGAGGCTAAAAACTCTACAATTGCACCATCAAACCACTTTGGTAAATATTTTTCTAGGGAGAGAATGAGATTGAGAGAGAGAAGAGGTTTTAAATGTTTCAAAGGAAACACTAACATTACTAAACATCATGTTCACACACGAACACACTCACGTGTATACCGTGTACTGTGTGGGTTACATGTGTGGACTGGCTTCCATGCATTACACATATGGTGGGAAATTTATTTTTGTAAAGCTTCAGGTAGAACGTAGCGTTGTAGTTCCCCTCTCTGCCTACATGTCTGTTTGTTCGTTTGTTTGTTATATTGAACAGGGAAATAAACTACGAGTTAAATGAGTTTGCTGTGTTATTCTTCCGTTTGCTGCTGTGTGGCCCATGATGATGAGGACAGCAGCATAGTTGCTATAGAAAGTTAACCCTAATGATGTTGCCGTTCCTCGTGCTGGTGATGGCGATGATGCCTAAGTTTTGAAACTTAAATTGAGTTACAAACTCTTAACCCCTCCACAATACAGCGGCAAAATATGTACATAGCTCCACATTGGACCAGCAAATTCGCATGTTTTGCAGCCAAAGCTGTTGTGTATATCGCATCGTATAACTGGCATAACTAAATGCGTAACAAGGCTTTTGTTTGCATGTATACACTATATGAGTGTGTTATTTGCCTATACAACTACAACTACAGCTACAAAACACATAGCAAATCATATCAAATAACAATATTAAAACTTATTGCAAGTTTTGCAATTTAAGCTCGAAAAAGTTTCTATTTCCATTTTTTAAGCTGAATTATGCGTACATAATCGATGACAGGTTGTATAAAACGATTAAAACTTTTTCATTTTCCCCATCGTCGACGTCGTCTGCGTCTTCTATTCATTCGTGTGGTTCCTTTCTCACCCACCAACCAACCAATCTCACATCGAAAAACTAAAGATCAACTGTTACATATTCTGCTGTGCCAACCACCACCAGTGCAAGTCATGGAAACCATAAAGTTTCACTTGGGTTTTCAAGTTTTGATTTGTAGTTTCAGCATCGCCAACAACAACAACAACAAACTCTACAAGAAATGAAAAGACACAACTGATTCAATTCAGTTTCGAGGAAATCGTATTTAAGTCAACATATGTTACCCTGGCCATGAATATATAGCATCATAGCAACATCATGTCAAGATGTGTCAAAACAAATTTCTGTCATCAGGAGTAGTGGCGATGGTGATATTGGAAATGTTCTTTTGTTGTGTTTGCTCTTTCTAAATTGATGGCAAACTATTGCCGACCACCACTTACAAATGGTATGCAATAAATTAATCCATGTCAAAATAATTGTCGATGAAACGACGTGGTGAACGAAATTAAGTTTTGAATTCAACATTTAATATTCACAAATTCTAGAGATTGAATATAATGTCTACGCATTGCTATTCGACAGGTATTCATGTGTATTGAAGGTGGAATAAATATTAATCTATAATAGAAAATTTATTTATATAAATTCCAAAACTACAGGTATTCAAGGTATACTGTGTTGATACACTACAATTCCCTTAGTAGATGATCTCTAGATGGCAAATGAACAAAATTCTCTGGCGCGTATTAGTGCTGTCGTATCGTATACGCGAATGTAGAGATCTAATCATATGAGTCAACTTATTAATGAAAAAATGTTTTAGAATATGGATATATGGGCCTTTGATTTAATATATCCCATTTTCCGTACGTTATGGTTGAGGGTTTGACATAAATTTACTCCTTAGGGCCAAATGGCTCGATTTTTATACACGAGAAAACAATTTTTCAATATGTTTATACATGAGTTTTGCCGATCTCTGAGCATAGACAAATAATTAAATTATATCTCTCGAGCCCCGCAATGTCGAGGAAGTGTATATATAATTCACTCTTCCCGATCTTATATATTTGTTGTGCTTTAAAACTCACCTGGATCGATATATTTTAAATTCCGTGCCAAGTGCGTTAACTGCAACGGTATGTAACGTGTATCAGCTCTTGGTGTTGTCTTCGGTGCAGGTGGTGAGGCCGATACCCCGGGTCCCAGTGGGCATAAGAAGGCTCGTTGTAATTCCCAGCCAACTTCAGATATTATGCTGGCTTTTCTAAAGTAAGGTGTGACTTCTCGTAAAAATTTTACTGAAATGAAAAAAAAATGAAAAGAAAATCAAATTAATTCCACAATAAAATTGTACTCTGGAGAGTAGAAAATTAGTGTTGGGCATGAAATCCCTTAATCAGAACCCATTCAGGTCCTTATGTTTAACAAGGGGTTTCGTCTATATAAACAATTGTCAATTCGCCAATTATTGTGGCACAGTGTGAACAGGTCTACTTTTTTTATTTGTTATATTTCCATTCAAACCCCTCTACTAGTCCATAACCATGTTTTTGTAATATCTCCCATTCGATATAATAATCAAAAGTCTATAAATTCAACAAAGTTTTCTATATAAAAATTAACAAACAAAAAACAAAACAACAACAAAAACAAGTTGGCAACAATTTATAACCATGTCTTTAAACGAACAATGCACCAGACTATCAATATTTTGTAGACAATTAATTTTAAAGCATTTTTTGGCTATCAAATGCGGTAACCGAAATTTATGAGGCTCGTAACAATTTCCTTAATGTTAATGTGTGTTCGTACTGATGTGTGTGTATGTCTGTGCCTGTGTGTGTGCACATGTGCATTTATGTTAACAACAATTTAAAGGGAATTTAGTTTTACATGACGGCCAATAAAACCACTAAAACAATCAGGCAACAACTTTAAACGGCAACTATTGTTACTGTGTTGCTGCCACAGCAAAACGGGGACACCGAAGAAGGAATGGAGTTGCGAAATTGCTAGTAAACAATAAACCCGAACTCCGCGCAAATACACACACACAGCTACGCCAAATAGAAACTAGAAGACAACATAATGCCACATAAAGAGCCTTCACGAGTGAAATTGAAACTTTAAACCTCAAATGGCGACAACGTTGGCAACAACAAAACCAACAGCAGCAACAAAAGGAAGAAGGAATAACAATGGCAACAAGGACGAAGACGAGCTAGAGCTCAATAACGACAACAACGATGATGAAGACAATCACACAAGAATGCAACCAAAGCAATTGAAACAAATATAGCTAGCTGAAACGACAATAACAACAACAGCAGCGACAGCGACAACAGGGGCAACGACAACGGCAATAATGTCAACGACAATGTTAACGTGTAAATTCATTATGTCTTCCGTTTGACTTCCCTTAGCAATATTAGCAGGAGCAGCAGCAGTGCTAACAACCAATGACGAAAGACAACACCAGCAACAACAACAACGACAATAATTTCAGCTGCAGCTGTATCAACAGCAATGCCAGTCAAAAGAAACCAAAAGCTTGAAATGAGAAGAAAAAACACACACACATACAAACAAACAAACAACCTTGCATTTGGCTTGGAAAATTCAACATTTCCGTTCCATTCCATTTTTAGAACAGAGTGCCAGCAAACACTCACTAGCACACCATACACCCTATTGGGCGGGCTGGTGGGAGACACCAAACGGCAGCAAACTTAAATGCTAAAATAAGGCACGCGTCAATGCAATGCTAAATGTATTATGTGCATGTGAATGTGTGTGTGCGAAAATTAGTGTGCCAATGTGGAAGCCCAAAAATATGCTATACGAGAAAGAGTCACACACACACACACACACTTCTGCACATATACACCGCCATATGCCGGGAATACAACTACATAGTAGTAGTAGAGCATTATCAATGAATGACAGTCACACACTCATAATACGCTTGAATGAGGGACATGGGAACAGTACGCCACCAGCGTGTTAGAATGTTATAAATATTTAGAAAAATTGAAAAAATATAATTATACAAATACATATTTTTCAATAGCTACGAACTATTTTTTGAAATTGGGCTTAATTCTTAAGTAGGCTAGCCATATTGTTTAATAAATATGTGCGGGACGACTAGATACGGCTATTATATAAGGTCAAAAAAAGACCAGATTTAACTCCAAGTTACACTTTCCTTCTGTTGTGCAAATTATTACATTACCTAAAGGGTTAACAATTATAATTTATAATATTTGATCCAACAAATTTCCAATATTTGAGTTGCCCTCAAGACAGAAGTCATAGACAATTTACGTGGAAATTAATCTCGTTTCCATTCTAATTTATCCGCACATTTTTATGGGTCTTATATCACTGTCCTCTTACTGTAGTTATATATATATGTATTTGTATCAATGTGTGTGTGCTATGAGCTCAATGTGTATTTTAAAAAGGCTTTATTATTGCCATTGGTGTTTGACGACGATGGTGTTGCGGCAGCTTGTATTGCTGACTTCTAAAAAGGAAGTTCGAAAGCAAATTAGTTCCGCCAAACTACAAAACACACTCACAATTATGCTCGCACACAAACTCACACACACACACTCTGCACATACAAATACAGACACTAACGAATGCCTTGAAACGTTTGCAATTTGCCAACTTTTAAATAATTGTCATAATAATATGAAAATATGAGCATTTATGTTATATAGGTGCAGTTATGGCGGATGTTTAAGTGAAATGTTGTTATTATTAAAAAAAATACTTTTTTTCTCGTTTTCTCTCTTCTTGCCAGCAAAAAAAAATATATATATATATATATATATATTATTGCAGTGTTCGTCAGCCAGACCCAATTTTTTATGTTGACAAATTTCTCTGGGTTTCCAGTATTTCACTAATACTTCTCAGTTTTTTTGCAGTTGTTGTTGTTCATTCTGTTGCAGAAAACCATATTTGTTATCTCGCTGCGGAAGAAGGTCCTTTACATGGTGCGGCAGACCATGATGGCATAGCATGTCGTGGTATCTTGGCAACTGCAATTACGTTGGCATTTGCATTTTCAGCACAATATAGAAAAGTAAAAAAGACGAACCTTTAAGAGCGGCAAGTTTTTCGGGCGGGCATTATCAGAGTAATGGCAGACAGGAAACCGGAAAAACGTCATCAGACCAAAAAACGTATAACTTTAGTGTGCAATATACGACTATTGCGTTCGCCGTTTTTTTTTTTTTTTTTTTGGTGACTGGGATTTCGATAACAACCAAATTTTGTGTTTCTTTACTTTGTGGCCTGTTGCAGAATGTTGGAGGTTGATTTAAGAGTTGTCAAACAAACAGCAGTATAAAGAAACACAATACTACAAAATATTTGATATTTCCTTTCCACGCTTCTGATTAAATAATTTATAAAAAATTGCGAACGCCATATTATTTTGTAGAACGCTAAGTACGTAGCCAAATTCGAAATAATCATCTCGTTGAGAAAATTAGTAACTGGAAATTATTTTGGCATGTCAAAAGACGTTACCAGAAATGTTGAATTGTAACTGCTGGTTAAGTGGTTTATAAAAATTAAGACCGATAGCAACTACTTCAAAAGAGAAATACTGGGCAAAGGAAGAAATTTCCAAATCTTTCACAGTAATTCTCCAGCAGGACGTTATACACAACAATTTTAAAAATGTAATGCCACAAATATCCATTTGATTGCTGCTGACGAGTTATAGTCATTAAAATCCGAATTATATTCATTGTATGTATTTATCACACATTGCGTATACATAACGACAACACTCATACGCAGCCATGATGACATTTCTCTGAGTGTTTTAATCGAGATTGTATAACTGAGTAGATTTTTTCTTTATGTACTCTTCTCATTGCTGTTTTCATTTACGAGCTGCAAAATAAAGAACAGCATAAATATTCACATGCCAACGTATTTATTGCAAAATATTTCGTGGTTTCACGATTACGACCCAGTAATGACACAAATCTTTTCTATTTTTTAAGGGGGGATTTGGCATTGTGGGTATGGATTATGCATGCTTGTTGACATGGTGGCGACACAACCATATAATTCAATCTCTCCCTCCCTCTGTATCTCTCTATCTCTTTTCGTTAGATATCCATAAAATGAAAACTTTTTAAATTAAAATACCGCACAATAAAAGTGTGCAAAGTGTACGAAAGGAAAAAGGACGAAACAATTTCCTGTGGCTTTTAAATTTCTAGTGTTGTGGCAAACATTGTTAATTATCAGCCTCGGCAATGGGGTTTTATCATTAACTGGGTGGCATGAAAAAGGTTCTCTCTGGTAACCAATCCATCCATCCACCCCGGCATTTAAATAATTTTATATTTGATATTTTCTTTGAGTTTGTGTGTGTTCTAGGTTACCCTGTGAATTTTGGTTTAAACTTTTAATATGGGTTCTAGTTTTTTTTTAATTTTTAACTTGCCGCTCAGTTAATTTTAATGTTTTGCTGCCTGTGACAGTCAACAAATGTTTAACAGTATAGCTTCAACAAGTATTCATTTTGCCTAAATCTTCTTAAGCTTCATACCTAATTTATGGTGGATGTTGTTCACATTTTGGGAGAAACAAAGAAACCTTGTTTATTAAATAAATTTGTAGGCATAAATCTACTACTTTTGCCATTTTTGGAAAGTTTAAAAAAAGCCCCGTTTCCATACCATATAAAAATTAGACGAATTTAGGAGGACAGAAACCGAAATGGCTTTATATTCAATAGGTTATTCCTTGATAAATTTCTTAAGAAAAGTTGATGACCTGAAATATCAATCATTAATTGACGATGTGTTGGTTTTAATCTAACCAATGTGTGAATATGTGGTTCTAAAACCAACCATAAGATCGTATTTTCTTTTTTAACATCATGTATAGTATTTTTGATCTCACACTGAACAGTGCCCAAATTACAACAATGTATTTTAATAATTCATTAGATCATTTTCCTCTTCCTTCCAACTGTAAACATGATGAGTGGTTTTCAAGCTATGTCAACAATGCCGCAAATACCAATGCCACAAACATTTTTTTCCTCAAATCATTCATTTAAATCCCCTCTGATGTAAGAGAATTTCTTTGCCTTCACTATTTTGTATAATGTTTCCAAATAATCCTTCATCGAAATCCATCATAAATCTATGGATTCTCTACTCAACTGTGTTTAAAGGCAGCGGCAATTTACAGTTGACACCTCTTACCGCAAAAACCAGCATAGCTTGGTTTTTGGCGAATTCAATTCATTATCAAT